TGTATAGCACTGTACCTAGCACATGATAATAATAACAACTGGCATTTATATAATGCAACTGATTGACCAGTCAATCAATACGCATTTATTAAGTGCTGATTAACAGAGAGAGGCATCTGGTCCAGTGCATAGATCAATGGTCTTGGGGTCAAGAACACCCAAGCCCAACCTCAGGTATTTCCTAGTGGGTGGACAAATGATTTGCACAGTGCTTTACAAAGATTATCTCATTTTCTGCCTAGAGCAATCCTAGTGCTAATCCTCCCTGAACACCCCATACACCCCTTGCTGACCCCTTTTCAGGGCTGCTAATCCACCTTTGGTGTCTGTTCCCCAGCCACCCAACTCTTTCCTGTGCCTCCAAGAAGCAGTGTGCAGTGGCCACACCCCGATAAAGCAGGTTGAGGGTAACCGAGGAGCCCCAAACCTATCAGTGAGTTAAGGGGGTGTCTACTGTAGGCATATGTAGACTTCTTCAACAGAATGGGCATATGAGAACAATTTGTTTCAAGGGTCATGAAGGTGGCTGAAACAGGCACTTAGAGCTTGGCTGAAGATGAAGATGGAAGATGCCAAGGTCATCCACTGCTTCCTGGATCATCCCATCGTCAGTTCTCTTGACTTTTGTCCTGTCACTGAACTTCAGTGACCCTGGAAGACAGAGTAAAGCTGACAACTTTGTGCAGCTCTGCCTCACTTAAATCCAATTCAAGAGCAAGTCATCAGTCTTTGAAAAATGAAGGGCAAGTAACAACAGCGATCCTGGGAGAAGGTGCTATTATTATCCCCATTTTACAGATGAGGAAGCAGAATCAGGCAGGAGTTAAGTGACTTGTCTAAGGTCATACAGCTAGGAAATACCTGAGGCTGGATTCAGGTGTTCTAGACTCCAAGCCCATCCATCTATACACTGCCCAGCTGCCTCTGCTAATTAGCACTTAATAAATGCTGTTTGGTGGGGCAGCTAGGTGGCGCAATGGATAGAGCACTGGCCCTGAAGTCAGGAGGACCTGAGTTCAAATCCAGCCTCAGACCAAACACTTGACACTTACTAGCTGTGTGACCCTGGGCAAAAGTCACTTAACCCCAATTGCCTAAAAAGCATAAAAAAAAATAATAAAAATAAATGCCACCTGGATGTCCCTCAGGCATCTCAAGCTCAGGCCTGTCTAAAACCTCATTTATAACTTGTCTCCCACCTCCAACCCACCCTCCTGAGGAAACCATTCTCCTTTTGGTCTCTCAGGTTTGAATGATTTCTTTCCAAACTCTACAGTCTTCAATGGCTCCCAATTTACTTGAGCAGGCATTTAAGCCCTTTACAAACTCTCTCTCATTTAACTTTCTAGAAATTTCCTATTATTCCTGTTCACACAGTCTGTGTGACAGACCTGTTCCCAAATGTAATATTCCTTGCCCCAGCTCGGTGCTGTCTCCCCCATGCCTGGAGCACATATTCCCTCCTCCCCTCTAGTTCCTTTTTTTTTTTTTAAGGCAATTGGGGTTGAGTGACTTGTCCAAGGGTCACACAGCTAGTAAGTGTCAAGTGTGTGGTCTGAGGATGGATTTGAATTCAGGTCCTCCTGACTCCAGTGCTCTATCCACTGTGCCACCTAGCTGCCCCTTCCCCTCTAATTCTTAAAAAATCTGCAGCTTCCTTCAAGGCTCAGTTCAGGGGCTTCCTTCTATAGAGAGCCCAGATTCTGAGAACTTTTTTTTTTTTGGTATTTCTATGCTTTTTATTTTTTTAAGTATTTTTAAAATCTTGAATAGTATTTTGTTTTTTCCAATTACATTGGGAGCTTGTTTTAAATTTTTTTTCATAACTGTATTTCACTATAATTGGTTTCCATTGTACTCTGTTGTTCAGTCATGTTAGACTTTCGGTGACTCCATAGGAGGTTTTATTGGCAGAGATGCAGGAGTGGTTTGCCATTTCCTTCTCCACCTCATTTTACAGATGAGGAAACTGAGGCCAACAGGGCACCCCCAGCTGCCCCATATTTTGTTATATGAATATAATATATACACATATCCATATTTTATCATATGCAACTAAAAACATAATTGCTAGAAGGGATCCATAGGCATCAGCAGGTTGCCAAAGGGGTCCAGCACATAAAAAAGTGATTAAGAATTCCAGTCTATGGGAAGCCTCCCCAGATTGTGTTTCTGACACCCTTCTCAAATGGTCTTGGGTTACTGATCTGCATGCACGTCGATCCTCCTTCCCTCCTTCCAGTTCAAGGTAAGCTTCTAGAGGGCAGGCAAGTCCTATTCCCTTTGCTGTATCTCTAGCTCCCCGCCCACTACTCGGGGCATTGAATAGAACATTTGGATCTTAATAAACGTTTGTGGAAGTGAATCCCTCCCTCTGCTTTCCCACAACCAGAGCTGATTTGGAGAGGTCCCTAAGGTCCTGCCCCTCTAGTCCTTTATGCTTTCTTCTAATTTGGTATTGAACTTGGCTCCCCCACGTCATGAGAGGCTCGATTGATTGCCCAGAAAACTGATTCTGAAATTACTTTCTCCCTGCCCCCCCCTCCCCCGGCAGTCAGTCATTTCCTGTCTGTTAAGTCAACTTCATTTTCAGTGGAGTTTGGGGCTCACCATCTCCCCTGCCTCCAAAATCTCTTCACTCCCATCTTTGCTGGTCAGCTATGTGACCTAGAGGCTACTGGCTTCTTTTGGTCCTTTATCCAGAACCAGGTCTTCTTCAGCCCCTCTCTTAGGCAGATATTTTTGAACTGAAGTCTGGAATATTTGAAGTTTCTCTAAAAAGATAGAATTTGATTAGAAGTGTTGACTAAGCTCTTCCTGTGTGCCAGGCTTGTGCTTGCTAAGATGATTGGACATAGAAAGGAATAAAAAATAACCCCCCAATCTGAAGACTCTCACAAGTTTAATTCAATGTTAAAAACAAAATCCCCCCAAGACATTTATCAAGTGCTTAGATGTTCCAGGCATTGGGTGAGATGTTGGGGTTGCAAAGGCAGAAAATGAAACAGTCCTTGCCTTCAGTCAAGGAGTTTACATTCTGGGGTAGGGGTGGGAAGCTTCTTCATAGACTTTCTCTGCCTCCTCAACCTCCACAACAGATAAGCTTTAAGATCCAAGTGGTTTCCATAGCATTTTCTTTTGGAATCTCCCAGAAGGGTCCCTGAGGGGCAGCGGGGTGGCCCACTGGACAGAGCCCAGGGCCTGGAGTCAGAAAGACCAGTTTTCAAATTCTGTCTCAGAAACTGACTAGCTGTGTGATCCTGGGGCAACTCCCTTAACGAGTTTTGTCTCAGTTTCCCCATCTTTAAAATGGGGGTAATAACAGCATCTGTCTCATAGGGTTGTTGTGAGGATCAAATGAGTTAATAATTGTGGAGCACTTAGCACAGAGCCTGGCAGACAGTAAATGCTGTATAAATGTTTGTTGTTGCTGCTGTTATGTTAGCCTCCTTTGTCACTCCAGGCTCTCTGCCTCAGTTCTCCCTGCAGTATCCCTCAGACTCTCCTTGTTCTTTAGTATCTGACTGCTATGTTCCTTAATCTCCTCCCCTCCTTCCCTCGGTCCCCTCAGTCTTGCGCCCTAGCCTTCACTCTCCCTCCAGAATTCTATCCTGTCTTTCAATATCTGATCTCCCTTTTCCCCGTTGATTTTTCTCCTCTCTTTTCCTCTGTCCTCACTGTTACTCAGTCTCTCTTCTGTCTCCCGCTTTCTGACCCTCTTCCTCTCCATCAATTTCCCTTCCCTTGGATTTGGGGGTTAGCCTATTCAGGCACGATTGTATGTGTATCTCAGGGCAGGGGGATGAGGAGGAAACAGCTTGTGGTCGGCGATACAGGCTAGGAGGAAGCCTGCCAGAGTAAATAGCCTTTGGGGTGGGGGTGGGGTGGGCCAAGGAGTGTAAAAGGAGGCTTGCAGGAAGGGAACCAAGTCAAGCAGCTTCATCTGTGGGCCAGATGACAGATCTGAGCTTTAGGAGAGGTAGCCTGGTTTTAGCTTGACTTCAGGATGTACCGTCCCGGTCTGATCTCCTAATGGGTTGATTGGAAAGTTAAAAGCTGAGTAGATTTTCTTTTCTTTCTCCCGTCTAAAGTTGGGAGTGCTAGCCCTCCTTTCAATACTCTGCCCTTCCAGCTGTTGCCACATGTAGGAGGCGGGGCACAGATCTGTGTGGGGTCCGGGGATCCCAACTGCGGCGTCTGGGAAGATTGCCCAGAGGAGAGAGATCCCCCCAGCCCTCAGCGCGGTCGTGGACTGGTCGGAGACATTGGGGATCCTAGGGGAGCCCGGATACTGGAGGCCTTCCCAACGAGCCCCGCCGTCTGGTGGCTTCCCTGCCCCCTAGGGCCCTCCCCTCTTTTCCTCTCCTCCCCTTTCTCCTCCTCTCCTTTGCTACCCCATCAGGCCCCTCCCCGCGGTGGGACGCTGGCCGAAGGCGTCTGGATCCCAAACTCGCTCCTCCCGTTGGCAGCTTCACCCGGGATTTGCTTTTCCACCCAGTGTCGGACACGTCGCCGGAGCCCCAAAGCATTGTGTTGGCCTCCGCGGAGCCCTTTTCTCCTAGGACGCCGGGGTCTCCAGGGCAGGGGTAGGGGAAGATTCCCTCTAGCCCTAGGGGGGCCCTCGCTCCCCTACGCCTGGGTCTCCCCGCCTGCGGCGGGTCTCTCCGGCCCTGGGGGAAAGCCCTTGGTCTCCTACGCCTGGGTCTCCCTGCCGGAGCCAAGTCTCTCTGGCCCTAGGGTGCCCTCGATCCTGGACTCCTGGGTTTCTCCGCCGTGGGCGCATCTCCCCAGCCTAAGGTGCCCTCGGCTTTCGAACGCCTGGATCTTCCCCGATTTAGGGAGTCCTCGGCTTCGGGACACCTGGGTCTCCCCGCTGGGGGTGCGATTTTCCTGCCCTAGCCACTTCCACCCCCACCCCCACTCCCCAAAGTCTGGGACTTTCCGGACCTAAGGGGCCCCTGCTCCCAGACGCCTGGGTCTTTCCTCCAGGAGCGTCTCTCTTTGGCCTGGGGGCCATGAGTCGCGGGGCTGTCCTGGCCCTGGCATTGCTGGTATACGCGGGCTACCTGACGCTGGGAGCCCTTGTGGTATCGGCGATTGAGCGGCCCCAGGAGAGCCGGCTGCGCGCTGAGCTGCGGGCGCTGAAAGGGGAGCTCTTGGAGAGCAGCCCGTGCCTGGACGACCGGGCACTAGAGCACTTCCTGACGCGGGTGCTGGAGGCCGGGCGCCACGGGGTGTCGGCTCTGCACAACGCCACGGCGCCCACCAGCTGGGACTTCGCCTCATCGCTCTTCTTCGCCAGCACCCTCATCAGCACAGTGGGTGAGTTCGCTCCTGCCCTCCTCTCACGAGCCCAGCTTCCAGCCCCTCCAGGCCTCCTGCGTCCCACAGGCTGATTTTCCTCTCCCCCTTCCTCCCCTTCTGCCTTCTCTCTCTTCCTCCCCTGTCTTTTCTTCCCCTCCCCCCTCCCACATACTTGAACTTCCTCTCTGCTTTAGCTTTTAACCTGGGGTTTGAAAGGAGTAGGGGAGGGGAAATTCCAGCTCCTTTCAGCCTCCCTCTCCACGTGTGAAGCTAGATCTTTCTTCCTATCCAGGTCTGGAAGGAAGAGAGGAAGTGGTTCACTGGAAAGGTCCCAGTTTAGGGCTAGTTTCCCCTCCATGCCCCCTCCAACCTTAGGACACATCTGGGAGGGATCTTGTACTCTCTCCTAGCTTTCTCCTAGGTCTGGGACAGGTTAGACCTGCTCTGTGCCCTAGCAGGAGTCAGGGCTTGAAGTTCCACTGGCTTACCTGCCCTGCTCTCTCCACTGACCTTCCTGAAGCCTTCCTCTGCCTGCACGATTCTGTAGGCCTCGTGCTGCAGTAGCAGAAGCAGTACAGGATATCACTGGGCCAGCTGCCTCTCTAGTCCTTGCCTAGGGACCCTACAGCTAGCCATCCACTTCCTTATCTCCATCTCCTGGCTTAAGACCCAGAGATTCAGTGTCAAGATCTGGCCCAATTTTTTCAACAAAGCCTTGTGTGAAGCACTATGGATGAAGAGCCCTGAGTGTGCTGGGGAGAAGGATTGGGACTCAGAAAAAAAAAATTAACCCCACCTATTCCTTAAAAGGATTATGCAGAGGAAATTAAAGAAAACTTACCAGAGGAGGACAGCTTCAGAGCTATGAAAACTGGGAAGTAGCAACTGGAGCTTCCCAACAAAATGGGACCAGATTCAACAGGGGCAGTGTGTTTTAGTGGACTGAATGCAAAACTTGGGGTCAGCAAGAACTGGGTTCAGATCCTGCCACAACCCCCTGTGTAATGCTAGGCCACTCACTTGATTTCTCTGGGCTTCTCCTTCTTCATCTGCTGAATAAGACAGTCAGACTAAACAGGAATCTTCCATTTCAAAATCTAGGACACTGGAAATATTTCATTCGGCACTTCCAATGAACGTGATACTAAGCCAGAGTGGGCTGCTGGGGGGAAGCTAGTCAGGAAGACTGTATTCAGAAGGAGTTTGGACTAAATGATTTCTGGAAAGGCAGAAGTGGGCACCAAGCAGGAGATTCAGACTGTAGAGCTTGAAGGGACCTCAGCTCATGAAGCCCAAATGCCTCGGTAGGGAAAACGAGGCCCCAGCAGGTTTCCTGGCTTACTCAAATCCACAGTCCTTTGGCAGGAATTAGCAGCTCCCTGGGGACCCGAGCTTGGAGATGCCAGCTCTTCTCCTCTCCTTTCGTTCTCTCTTCCTACCCCCAGGTTATGGCTACACCACCCCTCTGTCGGATTCAGGCAAGGCCTTCTCCATCTTCTTCGCCTTGCTCGGGGTGCCGTTTACCATGCTGGTGCTGACAGCCACAGCCCAGCGCGTGGCCTTGCTGGTGACCCATGCCCCACTAGGCTGGCTGCAGTTCCGCCGAGGCTGGGACCCAAGGCTGCTTGCCCGTTGGCACCTGGTACTGCTACTGCTGGGAGTGCTGACCTTGTTCTTCCTGGTACCGGCTGCCATCTTCACCTACCTGGAGAATTCCTGGACTTTCCTCGATGCTTTCTACTTCTGCTTCATCTCCCTGTCCACCATTGGGCTAGGGGACTATGTGCCCAGTGAGCAGGAAGGTCAGAAGAACAGGGCCCTTTACAAGGTTCTGGTCACAGGTAAGCAGAGGACCTGGAATCCCTAAACCCTCAGCAAAGGGCTGACTGGGGAACTTGGAGGGAGTGTGACCCCTATGCAAGGGGAGCCATCTCACACACACACACACACACACACACACACACACACACACAAATACACACACACACCCCTCACTCTGAAAGGAAATGGCCAATGTCCAAGGTTCTATGCTGTACCGCACATGGGGGGAGGGGAGCAGGTCCCTGGGGGGGGGTGGGAATTCATGGGGAAGAGCAGGCTCTTTCCATTGTCAAGCCTTTGCCATTCCTTTCCCTCACACCCATAGTGTACCTGTTCCTGGGGCTGGTGGTCATGGCCCTAGTTCTCCAGACCTTCCGGCGTATGGCCGACCTCCATGGATTGACTGAACTCATCCTGCTGCCCCGGGAGTGCCAGGCTGATGAGGAGGAGGATGAGCACACAGACATCCTGGACTCTAGGGTTCAGCCCACTCAACAGCAGCTCAACTCAGGCACCCACTCAGACTATGCTGCTATCCCCCGGTAGCCCCTACCCTCTCCCCCTGCCCGAGGCCCTGCCTTGGGGGCCAGGTATGGGCCTGGGACAAGACTGAGCCCCCTTTTATCCTCACTACGACTATCCCCTCTGTCTAATCCCTGAGCCCTGCTGTCCGTTGGCATGGGGTAATATTACAAGCGTTTGGTTTTTTTGCACTTCAGAAGTGTTCACCATCTCATTCAATGCCAGCTGTACCCATGTACTTGGGGGGGAAAGGGCTGGGAGAAAAAGGAATGGAGTGGGAAGGTAGTCTGGCTGGCTCCCAATTCCCATACTCACAAGAATCTTTCAGGCTTAGGGTGAAGCCTAGGGTGAAGAGGAGTTAAATGCCCTTATTTACAAGACTTGGGAGATGAGCAAAAAGGAAGAGGAAGACAAGGTCCAATTTGGGAAGAGAGGGGTTGGGATTTCTGAGTTCTGATCTTGTACAGCTAACGCAAGTTAGCCATAAAGTCACTTTCTCCAACCTCAGTTTCCCCTTCTGTACAATGAAGAAGTCGAACTGAATGGTCTCTATGGGCCTTTTCAGCCTTGTGTAGGGTACATTTCTGGGTGTGTTTTTCATATCCCAGCCAGGCATCTCTTTCCCATTACTTCCTTAGTAGATTCAGTAACTAGGACTGGGTGATCAGGACTTTGTACCAGGGCATCCACATTTAGGGTCCCTGTCTCCTGGGTGCACGCAAGTTCTCCCTCTGGCAGCCAAATTGAAGGTAAGCTGCCTCCTACCTGCCTCAGTCTTTCTACTCTGCTTCCCATGGTGGTTACTCCTCCTTCATTCTCGAATGAAGGACCAATGAGGTCAGGAGGCTGATGTCTTGACTTGCCAGTGAGTTAGATTTAAGTGAGGCTGAGCTGTGTCAGCATGACTGGTGATGGCCCCAGATGCAGTGGGAGACCTTGTCCCTTTTAAATGAAGGTCTTCCCCAGGCCTCAGTTTGTCTGAGGCAACACCTGTTCAGTAATTAGAGGCTAGGTAAGAATTGAGGCAAAAGCTGGCCTTGTTTGCCTTCATAAAGAGTAAATCTGGGAGGGAAAGAATTATGAAGTCCTTATCTTTAGTCTCCCGCCCCCCCCATTCCTATCTGCTTTCTCTTTGAACTTTTACAAGCCGTAGGAGTGAAATGAGAATGCACCATGTGCTTTAGGGAAAAAAGCAACGATTTTTGTAGAGTTGGAAGCAGGACCAGTGGCCCCTCCCTCTATCCCTGTCCACCCCCTAACCCCTAAGACTTCTGCCCTTCCTCCACAATGCACCAGGTCCCAAGACTGGAGGAAGAAAAATTCTGGCCTCTGCATTTTGGGGCACAAGCCTGCCCTGTCAGAGACCTAAAATTCTTAATCCAATTATTCTAATTATAAGCCTATCGGTTTCTAGAGAAAATCCAAAGGGAAAGTGGTCCAGTTCATTCACCCTGACTTTGAAAATCTCTCCCTAAGACATTTTCCACATGCAATGTATAGGGTAAAGAACAAAGTAGGAATTCCGGGAGCATCATCGGACCACAGGATAAATTGTGGATTCATCAATTAGAACAGTAATTCTCCTCCCTCCCTCCAGTGGTCAAAAGTGGCACTGCTCAGCTCTTAGCAGTGTCTGACATCGTGAAGAGTTTTAGAAATGCTATTGACTGACTGCTCATAATTGAATTAAGCCAGGGTCTCTTCCCCTTTCCCAGTCCCCACACTAATCACCCCTGAACTTTGACTTAGTTTCCCTTTGAAAAAGTTAGGACTTGGAAAAGGATTTCAGACTATGATACTAATTAAGCAGCTAGGTGGCGCCATAGTGCATAGAGCACTGGACCTGCAGTCAGGCAGACTCTTCCGAGGCCAAATCCAGCCTCAGATACTTACTAGCTGGGTGACCCTGGCCAAGTCATTTAACCCTGTTTGCCTCAGTTTCCTCATCTGTCAAATAAGCTGGAGAAGGGGATGGCAAACCACTCCAGGATCTCTGCCAAGAAAATCCCAAATGGGGTCAAGAAGAGTGAGACACAAACAACAGCTGATTAAGTACCCGACAAGCCACTTAACCTTAAATCTGCCTCAGTTTCCCCATTTGTATAATGAGAAAAATAATAGTACCTACCTTTCAAGGTTGTTGTGAGGATAAAGCGTTATACAAATGCTAGCTATTATTATTATTATTATTATTGACAAGATTTTCTATTCAGGTACAGTCCAGGATTTGAGACAAAGTTGCTAAAAAATATGATTTTTGAAATGTTTCTACAAGATCAGAGCAAGATCAGTTTGGAACAAAACCAGGAATTCCAAAGATGATGAAAAAAGCACACATTCGGCATTTTTTATTGTTCATTTTTTTTTCGGTTGTGTCTGACTCTCCATGACCCCATTTGGGTTTTTCTTGACAGAGATACTGGAATGGTTTGCCATTTCCCTCTCCAGCTTAGTTCACCCACAAGGAAACTGGGGCAAACAGGGTGAAGTGACTTGCCCAGGGTCACACAGCTAATAAGTGTCTGAGGCCAGATTTGAACTCGGGAAGATGAGTCTTCCTGACTCCAAGCCCCAGTACTCTCTGCACTCTGGCGCCACCTAGCTGCATTTAATACAAACTAAGTGCTGTGCTTATTTAAAAAATAAAAAATAAAAAACCCCAGGAAAATAGTCCCTGTTCTCAAAAAGGTGAGTGATGGCTTTGGAGTTGAGTGCCGTACTGGGTGAGAGAAACCAGAGCTAATTGACGGGCCATTTTCCATAGTATTGTTTTGATCACGATCCCCTGAAAGTAGAAGGCTTTGGTGGGAGGAGGGAGAGAAGAAAATAGGGGTAGGGAGTGGGTAGACTGATCAATGGTCTGGTGTGGTTCTCTGAAATGTGAAGCTCTGGGCTAGGGGGAGTACCAGAGCTGAGGGGGTTAAGACTCCCAGGGCCACGTCCTTGGAAATCTTGATGGTACTATGACCTGGCAAAAAACAGAAGTAGAAATCTGGCCTCAGACCAAACACTTGACACTTACTAGCTGTGTGACCCTGGGCAAGTCACTTAACCCCAATTGCCTAAAAGCAAAAAAAAAAAAAGGCAGAAGTAGAGATGAGAGGTGTAGAGAACGTCTGCTAAGGCAGAGATGAGAAACGGATGGTTGTCCGTCCTTTGTACTCCAAGAGGACCAAAACTACATCACAATGTTGGGGTCAAGGTACAGTGTGTCCGACTGCGGCTGATTGGACCGATAGGAACTCAGAAGGCTCTACCACAGGTCAGGCACAAATAATCCATGTGAACATTTGGGGTGGAGATGTTTCTAAATTTGCCCATCCCGCATTTTTGTTTTGAGCTACTGCAGTTCTGCTTTGCTCATAGAACACAGTGCTCCTTCTTTGATGTGGGCATGCCATGCTGGGCGGTCCTGTGCCACTGTCTCCCATGTCTCACAATTGAGTCCAAAGTTCTTCAGAGAGATTTTGAGAGCATTCCTGTATCTCTTTTTGGAGTTGGCATTCAAACAACATGGCCAGCCCGTTGGAGAGTTACACTCTCTGCAGTGGTTTGAACACTTGGTAATTCATCTTGAGAAAGGACCTCAGTGTCTGGCAGTGAGGGAATCTTCAGAATCTTCCTAAGACAATTCAAACAGAAGTGGTTCAGTTTCCTGGCATGGTGCTGGTAGACTGTCCAGGTTTCAGTCATACAACAATGAGATCAGCACAATAGCTCTGTAGGCCTTCAGTTTGGTAGTCAGTCTAATACTTCTCTCCCACAATTTCCTTTGGAGCCTCCCAAACACTGAGCTAGCTCTGGCAATGTGTGTGTCAACCTCACCAACTATGTATACATCCCTAGAAAGTATATTGCAAAGGTAAGTAAACTTACTCACAGCATTCGATATTTCTTCATTTGCTATAACCTATGGTTCCACCCATGGATGGATGGTGTGGTGCTGCCAGGTGGAGAGCCTGTGTCTTCTTGGTGTTAATTATTAGGCCAAAATTACTACACGTAGCAGAGAATCAATTCATACTCTAGTGCATCTCGGCTTCAGAGGCTGACTTGAGTGCACAATCATCTGAAAAATCTCACACACACCAACTCTCCCTCTACTTTAGTCTTGGCTTGTAGCCTTTTCAAGTTAAATAATTTACCTTTAGTGCAATAGCTGACCTTGATGTTGTGTTCCTTTCCATTGAAATCATCTGATAACATGGCTGCAAACATCACGCTAAAAAGCAGGGGAGCAAGCATATAGCCCTACTTCACTCCACTGGTGACTGGGAAAGTCTGAGAGCATCACCCGCAATTCAGAGCCTGTGCCATCATGGAGCTGTAGCACAATAGTTATGAACTTCTCTGGGCAACCAAATCTTGCCATCATCTTCCATAAGCCCTCACGACCAATAGCATCAAAGACCTTGGTCGGATCAATGGGTTTTTGTGTACAGACCTGCTTTCTGCTCCTGGCATTTCTCCTGGAGTTGTCAGGCAGCACACACCCTATCGACCTTTCCACGGTCCTTTGTGAAGCCACGCTGGCTCTCAGGTAGATGACCATCCTCCAGGTGAAGGATCAGCCTATTAAGGAGGACTCTGGCAAGGATCAACGGTTAAGAACCCCGCACCTCTCTAAACTTCATTAGCACTTTACTTTTGATAGAACTAGACACTATTTCTTAGAGATGGATGGCCAGATTGATGGGTCTATAAACTAGCCTGGATAAGTAGGTTGGGATTAAGCTGTGAAAGGCTTTAAATGCCAACCCGCCGTTTTATATTTACCTCCTAGAGGCCATAGGGAGGCTCTGGAGTTTACTGAGTTAGGGGAACGATATGGTCACAGACCACTTTCATTGCTGAGTGGAGGATGGATTGGATAAGGGAGGGACTAGAGGGAAGGAGGCTTCAATGGGAGGCCACTTCTGTGGTCCGGGTGAGGAGTGATAAAGGTTTGAGCTGGAGTAGTGGTTGTGTGAGTGGAGAGAAGGAGACTTCTTCAGAGAGATTGTGGAGGTACAAACTTGGTTATAGATTGGATAAGTGAGGATAGCAGAGAGTCAGGGAGTGCAGATGACACTGGGTGACTGGAAGGAGGTGATGGACTCAACATTGGGAAGAAGGGTTAGAAGAGGGATGGGTTTGGGGCTGGGCTGGAGGCAATGGGAAGGGGGCGACAAGTTGAGATGGCAGGAAAAGTGGCTTGGGAGTCAGAATATGCTGGCTTGGTCTTGGTCCTAGCTCTAACAGACTTCCTGGAATTCTGTGCCTGGCAGAACTTTAGTTCATTCATTTGTAAAGCTAAAGGGTGGTCTAAGTGCCCTCTAAGGCCCCTTCTTGCTTTTAGTGTTTTATGAACAAGCCATTATTCAGCACCTGCTATGTTGTAGGCACTGTGCTAAGCCCTGGGGGTACAAAGAAAAGCAAGATGGTTCCTGCTTCCAAGGAGGTTCACGATCTAATGGGGGGAGATGACCCACAGTCATGTATGTCACTCATTACTGAGTTCATTCTTAGAAAGACTAACAAAATGAGTCTGAATGTGGGTTTCTCTCAAAGCTTGTGAAACATGCATACAGAGATACGCATCGTGAGACAATGAGCCCAAAGATGGACAAAGAGGATTTTTATATGTTCAGAGCAATTCCCTCTCACCCCTCCCTCCCTTCTTGGCTCAGAACGCCTATGTCAGCCAAAATTATGGTCTCCAAATGTTTAACTATGATATGAGAAAGGAATTTTTAAGTAAATAGGTTGTAAATACAATAAGATAGGAGAATGTCAGCGTCAATTGAAATTATAGATCCAGGAGAGCTGTTATTTCATTTACCATTTACCATTAACATAACATAACAGTGTATGTCCATAAAATACTAAAATAAGAAAAATTCCACCGTTTAAAGTAGTGTGTGGGTCAAGGCGCCTTAGTGGTCATAAACAGAAGAATGCTGGTCAGCTTCATCTGATACAGGAAGGGTCATTTTGAGTTCACTCAGAACAAAGAAAAATGCGTCCGGGGCATGCAGAGCATTATGGTGAAGTCAGCCCAGAGTGGGCTGAAATGTCCCTCCTGATCGGCCAATCCAGGTTTTAGACCTTTTTCAGGTGTTGGGGTTCAAAATGGTTTGGGGAGGGGTCTACATGTACAAACAAGTTACAGACAGATACATTGGAAATTTCAGACGGAAGCCATCGAGATTGAGGAGGACTGGGAAAGGCTTCTGCCAGAAGGTGGGATTTTATTTGGGATTTGAAGGAAGCCTGGTGGGAGAGCATTCCAGGCATGGGGGGGGAGGGCTGGATGAACAAATACAAATATATACAAAACTAAGTCATTATTTACAAGTCATCTTGGGGAAGCATTTCGGGGGAACCTAGGAGAAGCTCCACGGAGAAGGTAATGTTTGAGTCAAGGAAGAGAAGTGCTTGGCCGCAGGGAACTAAGAAGGATGGGGATTTCCATGGGGGAAACTCCCAGTGCAAACTCAGAGAATGGAGATGGGGCATTTTGGGTGAAGAACTGAGAGGAGGTCATTTTGGCCTGTTCATCTCAGTTCCTGTGGGTTCAGTTATCACCTCCATAAAGATGATTCTCAGATCTATCAGTCAATAAACCTTTATGCCAGTTTGCCTCAGTTTCCTCATCTGTAAAATGAGCTCCGGAAGGAAATGTGGCTCTATCCAAAGATACTCCAGTATCTTTTCCAAGAAAACCTCAGAAGAATCTGACGGTGAACAACAGTCTGCCAGAAGGAGGGAAAAGGTGCTTATTGAAATAAAAGGAGGGTGCTTAAATTGTTACAAGGGAAAGAGTGTATCCTTGTTAGCATAGCCATTGTAATTCAACAGGCAGAAGAAAACATTTTGGCCCTCTCTGAGCTTAATCTACCATAATGCCTTACAAGGGCTCTGGCATAACAGGCATGCTTTGCCTTGTTCTCTGGGTGAACTCAAAATGCCCCTTTCCTGTGTCAACAGCTACAAGGCCAGGGGCATTCTTTTGTATCCTTGCCAAGGACAAGGTGCCTTGACCCTGTGTGGGATGCCACTCAAATTAAAGAACACACAGAGGTATCCAAGGAGAAACAGAAAGTTAATTTATTATTATAATTATTTCAAACCTCGAGATTTGGGTGTCCCTCCACCAGAATACTCTGATGAAAGGAGACACAGACAGCAACAAAGGACCTGATTAAATACCCTAATGGGCAAATCCCCCCCTGCCACCAAGTGGCCACTATTTGGCTCACATTCTCAATGTCCACAGAAACTGAAGACAAAACAACGAACACAATATACATATCTATATTTCTTAATTTGCTGAAGTAATACCAAAGAAGCAATTAAAGATGTGCAGTCAAGCTAGACACTGTACTGTGTAGCCAGGTCACCATGACCGAAATATAGCAACAGGTGCATCAACAAAATACAGGGGGAGCTTCTTCAGGAGTTTCAGTCTTGGCAAACTTTAACTACTTAACAGTGGCATAAGGGGGGTACTTAGGGTTGAATTCCTGTAAATCAGGTGATTTCTAGTAAATCGAAACTTAGGCCTGTCAGGCTTCTATGCCTGCCTTGAGTCTAATACAATTTCTATTTATTCTTCTAAGGGAAGTTTTCACGGGACCCCTCATCCCACTCAGCCTTATCCCAAACCTTAATTACACTGAGGAGTCTTCACTGGGACATCCCATTCAACCCCAATACCATCTTGAATCATCGGACTTTTCTTATTTTAGTATTTTATGGGCATATACTATGTTATGTCATGTTAATGGTAAAAGAAACACATATTTGGAATCTATAATTGCAATTGACACTCTGTCAACTCATCTTATTGTATTTACAACCTATTCACTAAAGAAATTCCTTCCTTATATCATGGTTAACCATATGGAGACCATAATTTTGGCTGGCATAGGCATCCTGAGCCAGGAAGGAAGAGAGAGAGGGGTGAGAGGGAATTGCCTTGAAGATATAAGTGATGGGGTTGGGTTCTAGACCCCGAAAAGGAAAAACCCTGGACTTTCCCACATGGCAAAATCTCTGGCTTTTGCCTTTGGCTATAATCCTATCAACTGGCCTTTCTTTATTACCTACATCCAATCTACCTCCAGATGGCCCTCAGCCACTTCCCACAATTAATCCTATCTAGACTCCATTCTCCCTTGGCCAAATGGTCCAGGACCTAAGCATTCTGTTCACCCTGCCTTATTGGCCACTTCCATACAGATCTTCCTCAGACCCCTCCTCCAGTCACCCCAAACTACTTGGCCACTCCTAATCTTCATGTATATAAGGTCCATCTTGTCTCCATTAAGGGGCTCAGATTCTTAAAATCTAGCTGCTGCTCAGATTCTTTAAGACTCTGTCTAATATGATGGATGTTCTAATAACATTTGGCTGAAAGGTTGGGTCAAATTCTTTTGGGCAGGACCTTAGTGGTGATTTTGGGGTCCCAGCACCCCTAAACCTAGTGGCCTCTATGGGGAAGATGCCTAACCCTAAGTTCTCTAGCCAAGATTGGAAGGTGTGTAAGTCTCCCTCTCTTCTTTCTTGCCCTGCAGTTGGGGTCACTCTCTAAGCACCTAGGAAGGCTTGGAGGTGCTTTTCTGGCAGACAGTTACGAGGCTGTCTTCCACTCAGCCTGAAGCTCTCAGCGTCTCAGTCCGCTGGTTCAGTTTGAAGCCATGGACCTGGGCACACCTTTGGCAGCATAGAGGACAAGGATGGACATCCTATCTGGAAGCATATACCCAATTCTGTCAATTCTCAGTGCTAGGTGCTTTTTGGTTCCCTGAGGCTTACTTACTCCCTTCCCTGGTTACAGGGAAAAGGTAGAACAGCTCAAAACATCTTAGCAGATTCTGGAAATTTTGTGATTGATCATTAAGGAGTTTTGAAGCACCTCCTTACAATCCTGATCACTCCCTTCTCCCACTCCCTTGAGTCAAGAGGGCATTTGTTAATCCTTCTCTTAGAAGACAGTTTCACACACACACATACACCCCTCCCCTCCCAATGTTCTAATAAATCTTGTCTTTGGCTGAAGAAAGGTTGGGTTGAATTCATTTGGGCAGGATCCATGTGTCATGATTTTGGGGTCCCAGCACCCCTAACCCTCTAAACTTCAGTATTTGGTCTGCTTTGTCTGTCCATCCTTGGGCTCGTTGTCTTAGATGAACACATGTTCTGCAAGCTTTGAAACAAATAAACACTTACATTCAGCCTAATTTTGTTTATCTTTTTTCAGAACAAACTTAGTAATGTTTGACATAGGGCATTAAAGAAGACATTCCACATTAATCAGTAAATATTAATGGTTACTGTTGAGGTTTAGGGGTACTGGGACCCCAAAATCATGACACTGCCCAAATGAATTTAACCCAAGCCTTCTTTCAGTCAAAGACAAGGTTTATTAGAATATCCACCACATTGGCCAGACTCTTAAGGAATCTGAACTTTTGTGAGCTATTGGCTAGATCACAAGAATCTAGGCCCTTGGCTAGGTTCTTAAGGGATCTGAGCACCTTAATGGAGACAAGGTGGACCTTATATACAGAAAGACTATGGGAGGGATATAGGAGTGGCCAAGTAGTTTGGGATGACTGGAGGAGGGGTCTGGGAGAAGAGGTATCTTGATGGGGGTGGCCAGTAGGCTGGGGTGACTAAAGGAGTGGTCTAGGGAGGATCTTGATGAGAGTGGCTAGGAGGTAGAATGGGGTCTAGATAGGATCAAGGGTGGGAAGTAGCTGGGAGCTATGGGGAGGTAACAGACAATGAAGGGCTGGACCAGGTTAAAGGTAATAGAGAATTGGAAGATTGGAGGTAGGCATAATGAAAGCCCAGTTGATAGCATTATAGTCTCAGGCAAATGCAAGAGACTTCCTTGACCAAGTAGGAGAATTCAAGGACAGTCCAGGGGTTTTCTAGGGCCCTAGACAAATGGGACCCAAATTCTTTTTGGGGTGAGGGGCAAAGGTCTGGGCTTGGCCCTCTACCCTGTCAACTACTATATGCCAAGCTCTGTGTTAAACCCTGGGAATACATAAAATGCCGAAATACAGTTTCTGTCCTCGAGGAGCTCACGGGGAAGACAACTGTTAAAGGAAGACGCCAAGCCCAAAAAGAGGGATCATAAATGATATTGTCTGAGAAGAGCTTGCAAGAGAAACTTGGCAGCGGAGGAGAAACACACAGAGGCAGAGAAGAGAGACAGAAAGAAGAGAGATGCAGAGAGAGAGAGAGACAGAGAGAGAGAGAGAGGAGAGAGTTGTCACCTGCTCAAAGGGGAGTGGAAAAAGGGTGAAATAATATAGTGTCTAGAAACTTTGGACCAGGGAGGGGGACAGGGGTGAAGGGAGAAGACATCTGTAGACACAATAAGCCAGACGCAGGATGTTTAGAAAGTCCAGAGTAAGTCTTGAGTCTGTAGTTCAAAGTTGCCCTTGATCTGGTCAAGGCTGGTTCTGTGGCTTCTGGCAGCTACAGACATCTCCAAATTCAGCTAAAGTTCATTCTCAAAGGATCATTTGTACGTCAAGCAGCTTTGGGATGTTCTAACATAGAGAATAATCATTACAGTGCTCGTGTTAACCTTCTCTCCTCTTTGTCAACAGGGTTGCTAGATCCCCTGAAGACTAATGAGTAATCCATGTTTTGGGGGCTTCTCAGTGGTTGGTATTCTAAAGAGGCAGGAGATACAACAAAAAGTCCAGTGGCTCTGTTGTACAGAGAAATCAGCGAGGGAGACCCAGACATAATTTGAAATGTGGATTTATTAGTGTGCGGCTGCAAGGGGTACATACCCAAATCGAGCAGCCCCGATCAGGGGCAGAGCTTGAGTTTATAAAGGTAGAGGCCACAGAGGAAACGGTCAGGGGTTGCATAAGGGGGGAAGTTACAGAAGCCAAGCAAGTGATTGGTTAATCCTGCCTTTGGGACCATATAAGGATCATGGAATAAAGATTGGGGCGGGTATCTTTCTTGGCGGGTTTTCTAAGGCAGGAACTCCTACTTTCCTGAAGAAGGGCATACAAGGTGAAGGTCAGAAAACAAAATGGAGTTCAGCATATGTAGTTCAGTACTTCAGCTCTAAGGCTGCAGGATACAAATTCAGCGAGCCACCAGAGTATAACTGGGTCAAAGAGAAAGAAAAAAAAGCACAAGCAAGGGGACAGGTGTACATATCAGCAAAGTCACCAAGAAAACTCAGTAAACAAAAGGCATGAAACAAAAGACCCAAGTAATACAATAATGACCACCTAACAATGTAACTGGCTAACCCACTCCCAATGTTCAGTTAGTGAACACGTTTCATCTTGCCCCAGGTGTCCCATGCAATTGTCTGGTCTCTGGAAACATCTTTTCTTGGGGCAGTCTGGAAAATATTGTGTTCTCAGGACACCACTTTGGTAGATTTGCTTCTCTGGTTCCAAGCTATTTGTAGAGACTCCTCAGATGTTCCTTCGAAAAGCTTTTACAAAACAGATCTCAATACAAGATGTCAATACTAGTCATAAAGTTTATGTTGTGCAAATCATCTCAAACCTTATAGTTTACTGGGCAAGTCCCTTAACCCCAATTGCCTAAAAAAAAAACACAAAAAAAACACCTTGTAGTTTAATAGAACTGCAAGGGAGACATCAAATTAGGAGCCCATACTTCACCTGAAACTTCAGAGAATTTATGTTATAAATACCCCATTCTGTTAAACATCTTTATCTAAATTCTGTTCCTGACATGAACATAGTTAACGACAAGCTAAAGGGTTACTGTTACATTGATATATGTAAGACATTCAAATACAAACTAAACATTTTAAAATACGACAGAAGGTAGAAGTCTTAAACCCTTCCAAATTACAAATGTATTCATCTGAGCTTGTTCTCTCAAAATTTTTACTCAGTTGTTAATAATTTTTACCTTAACTGTTAGTTATTTTAAAACTCCAAATTTAAATACCACTTAATTTAAATTAATTCCAATTCAGTTCAGTTATATAATGACCTCAGGAAGAGAAGAGACAGAGAAGGACCTAATCCTCACATAAAAACACAGGTTACAGACACTTCTTATAAGAATATGACCAGGGCAGCTAGGTGGCACAGTGGATAGAGCACCGGCCCTAAAGTCAGGAGGACCTGAGTTCAAATCTGGCCTCAGATACTTAATAGTTACTAGCTGTGTGACCCTGGGCAAGTCACTTAACTGTGACTGCCTCATTAAAAAAACAACAATCTTACAACTTTCATAAGTGATAGCCGAATTGTTTTAGCTGTAACTTCCTCTTAACTACAAGCGAAGGTGAAAATACCCAGTTTCCTAAATTGCATTTACAAAACATTATACAACAGGGTTAGCAGGGCTGATAGAATAACAGGTTTTAAACACTTTCCACCTTTTTTTTCTTGTTCAGTTCATACTGTAAGAACATTCAAGTTACTAGATGACAGGCCATGTCTGGGTTCTACAATCTCAGAAAGAACCCATTACTTACCAATTTGCTTCCAGTTTTATAATTTTTTTCTATATTGATTTTCAAATCAAGTTGCAACATTTTCATGCTCAATCTTTCTACTTAAACAAAGTCAAACTTGCTCATATCCTGTCAACATGCTTAAACCATCTTGCATAAAAAGACACACCTTATTATCTTCAGATTCTTTCCTATAACCTTCTTCAGGTTGCTCACTCTTTAAATTCTCCTTTAAATGTTTAGTATACATTGTTGTTAAAGAAAAACTAATGACTTATTAAAACCTTCCTTTCCCAGCTGTATAGTTAATTTAAACTCAAGTGACCATTTTACTAATTTACCTATCACACTATAATTCTTTCTCTTGATTTATCACAATTCAGGTATTCCTTAAACAAAGAAAGCACCAAAAATCCATTAAAAGGTTCTTAGCAATTATAAAATCTTTAACAGATTGGTCTGTACTAACAGCAGCAAATTCTGGTGTATTATACACACAAGTAGCATAAAGCATTTTCAAGTTGCTTTCTTTTTTTTTTTTTTGGCTAGACAATGGGGTTAAGTGACTTGTCCAGCCTCACACAGCTAGTAAGTTTTATGTATCTGAGGCCAAACTTGAACTCAGGTCCTCCTGACTCCAGGGCTGGTGCTCTATCCACTGCGCCTCCTAGTTGCCCTTTAAGTTGCTTTCTTAAATAACCTCATCTTGTATGGGTAAGGAGCAAGGCAATTCTTAAGATTCAAATATATAATCTATGATAAAATTAGGATTCTCATACATTATAATAAAATTTCCAATTTCAAATGCATACACCAATTCAAAAAGTTACATCTACATTGACCAGTACTTAACATTAGCTTGTGTGATTCCTTGAATCATACTAGATATTCTAGTAAAACTCTACCTTTTGGTTGTTTCCTGGTACATGCAAAACTTCTCTCTTTTTCATGAGCCAGGAAAGAATTAAGTGCCAATCCTGTTCCAAAGCGTAAGCCTTGAAACTTTCACTGACATAGCCCCTAAACCTGTTCCACTATAATCAGTGAAAAGACCCTCTTGTCTAGATGTAAAACAAAAAAACCATTCCATTGTGTGTGTGTGTGTGTGTGTGTGTGTGTGTGTGTGTGTGTGCGTGCACGCGGGCACGCGCGCAAAGAACTTGGCCACAGTTCAGAAATGTGGAGGAAGAGAATACAATATTTTTGAAGGTATATATTAGCTAACAAAACACAGAAAGATACCTTTGCCAGCAAAGTTTTTCCTTCTAAACTCCATGAGAACAATTATGGACTTTGAGAGACACATAAACACAGATACAGGAAACACAACCAGATCAACAACTGTGAGACAATGGCCCCAGTGTTAAAAGTTACTTCTCTCTGCCTGCCTTACTAGATTGTCTCTACCGGAGCCATACTATCTATCACACACATGTACACATAAATTATATACAGCCTCAGAAATTATTACCCTTTTGAAATTTTAAATTTGCACTTAAATTTAAAATTGCACTTTAAATTTTAAAATTACACTTGTCTTATTTCTTGCATACTCTGATCTGACACTTCTTTTATCAATCATATCCCAAATAATCTTTGTTTCACTGAATCTTTCTTCCTCGGCTTCCCTCTTGTCCCCCTGATGTACACAGTCAAAAAGGGGTAGAGGAGAGAGACAGGGAGAGAGAGAGAGGGAAAGAGAGAGAGAGATTGAGAGAATGAGACAGAGAGAGAGAGAGAGAGAGAGAGAGAGAGAGAGAGAGAGAGAGAGAGAGAGAGAGAGAGAGAGAGATGAACTTTTTCTGCTTCTTATCCAACGTCACAGAAGGCAATTGCCATTTCAAGATTTCTCTAAATAGTGCTGAAAAGCTCTTGTCTTTGCCTAGGCTATCAATCTACACATTTGACTAAAATTCTGGATATTTTAACTTTCCTGCCAGCATTGCCAAGGCACTTCTTAAGATCATTTATTTAGTAAGTTCCCCAGGTTGGGCAACAATAAAACAGAGTAAGATTTAACCATTTTTCACAGTACTGACAGCAGTCTGGACCATAATTTCTAATCATGTAATGGGCTGCCATTAGTTGGGTTTAAGCTGTGACTGAGCGTTACCCGTGGTCTTAATGCAGACAAAGAAATAAGTAGATTCCTAAATAAAACAGAGAAACCAGGATGCCAGAAACAGAGTCTCAAAAAACTTGAGACTAGAGAATACCAGAAACCAAAACCAGAAATTAAACCTAAGACTAGAGAGATCTCTCACCTGGCAGGCACCTCATGAAGAGGGTCTCCAAAGGGACCCACAGTCTCAGACAAGAAAGGTAGAAGGAAGACTTAATCAAAAGTGAGAGTCTGGAGTTCAGGGCAGGGACAGTCACTCACCAACCAGTAGATGGAGGAGACTGGGACAATCACCCAATTGATACCTGATAGCCCTATCCAAAAATGTGGGGCGTGGGCAGTGTCCTCAGCCTGATCCTGTTCATAAAGGTAGACCCCAGGTCCAAAAAGAGGGTCCCTAAATGAAACAGAGTATAATCACAGATTACAAAGTGTTTATTATCTGAGAAGAGCTTGCAAGAAAAACTTCGCAAGAGAGGGGAGAGAGAGAGAGAGAGAAGAGAGAGAGAGAGAGAGAGAGAGAGAGAGAGAGAGAGAGAGAGAGAGAGTTGTTAGCTACTGAAAGGGAAGTGGGAAAAGGGTGAGATAATATAGTATTTAGAGACTTTGCTTTTTTTGCTGTGAGCAGCTGGTTCTGTGGTTTTTGGCAGCTACAGGCTTCTCCAAATTCAGCTAAAGTTCATTTGCAAAGGATCACCAATGTATCAAACAACTCTGAGCCTCAGAAATCTTTCTAATTGGCTGGTTGTTATGTAACTCCATTGTCCTGCTCCCCTATGAAAAGAGGAAGTTTAGCATATAGTATAGTCATTACAGAGCCCATATTAATACAATAAACAAACTGAAAGAGACATCATTCAGAAACAAAAAAAAGGTAGACAATATAGGACAAAATGGAGTTAGTTATGTTCTTCCCCAAATCCATTTTCAACACTGCCCTTCATAATGTGTGGGACAGCGACCCCAACCCAAATTAAACTCAGAGACTTCTCAAGGTGGAAAGCAAAGGTTACCTTTATTACAATCTCCAGAGATGGCTGTTTGCTCCTCCGATAGACATGGAGAGAGAGAGAGACCCGAGTAACAGGGGCCACCTTGTAAAAGCAATTCTCCGCCCACCATGCAAACAAGTCTTCACCCGCCACTATCCCTTACCCCCTTAACTGGGGGTGGGCTTACATTCTAACTGGGAGGTGGGGCTTACATTCTAGGTGCAAAATTCAAAGACAAGCAGACGCCAAGGGCAAACGGCTCAGGTTGGGGGTGAGTTAAGTGCTTAAAAACAGGGTCTGAGTGGGGGAGGATTTTGAAAGTCATAATCAAGAATTATTTGACCCTTTGAGGAGCCTTCACTTCTGAGAGTTCATTTCTCACAGTACCTTCTGAACTCATTACCTTAATTACACTGAGAAGTCTTCACTGGGACATCCCATTCAATAACTAGAATGCTTTGCTTTCTCATCTCCAAATCCTAGCTTCCCTCAAAACCCAGCTCAAATTACACCTTCGACAACCCCACCCCATGCCCTAGGTGTGGTGCCTTCCTGATTTTACCCAACCCTGAATATATCTAGTATGGTCTGTCACCCCAGACTCGGTGTAAGGAAAACTAGAGGAGTCAGAAGTCAAAAATAAATAACAGAACAAAAAAAAATTCATCTTTAATATGGACAAGACCAGGGATGTGCACATCAGGGCACTATAAATACCAAAGTACAAGTGCCCATCGGTATAGGATTACAGAGCAGCATTTAAAAACTAAAGCCACGAGAGAGGGAACAAAAGGACAGTTTTGGGGAAGGGTGTTATTGGAATGGATGGAATGGGTATTGGTGCAGGTCAGCAATCTCAGGATATATTTAGGCTGGTTTAGGATGGTCCAGGGTACTCCGGGCACAGGGTTCAGTCAGAAGACAAACCCAGAGGTGCCTGGGTAAGAGCAAGACTTTTGTTCATGGTTCTCTTTGGTCAGCAAAGGTCTTCCGCTAGAAATGGGCTATAGCAGAATCAAAGTCCTTTTCAGAATTCTTAGTCCTTGACCAAAAGTTCAGAATTCTTGACTAAACTGATTGACTGACTGGTCAAAGTGTGAAAGGGTGAGCAATGTTCAATGCAGCTAGATAGTTTGCGGAAGGTTGTAAAGGAATTTAAAAACTGAATAGTTTATGTTTGGAGAGAGAAGCCTGTGTGTAGAGAGTCCACATCTAGGTAAGGTAGAGAAAAGGGGTACCAGGCTAGCATTATAACTATCTACTCCTTTAAATATTAGTAGTCTAGGGGATATGATCAAGTTCGTCTAATTTATAATCTGTTTCTCATTGGAGTGGGAGAAATTGAACCTCAAGCTCTATATTCAAGGCTTGACCCTTTCCCCACCAAATACCAGTTCCACAATAAACACACATAGGGAATGGGAAAGAAATTAATTTATTTAAATCATAGCCAAACAGAAATCAGAGAAAGTCTACATAGGAGAATATATACCTGAAAATTCAGAGTGAAGGAGCTCTTCCATTGGGAGTGAGATAACTCAGCTTAACCAAGAGAGAGTTCTAGATCCCACCCAAGGGGAAACTCCCCGAAGTCTACTGTAGCTAGCTAGGACAAGAACATGATGGAGACTGCCAGCTCCTCTCCTGTCTTCCCAGAGTTTTCTTACTTCAGCACCCTTAAGTGCATCTTCCCTCTTGAAGCTGGAATCCAGAAGTGCCCAAAGTGACTTGAAGCTTGAAGAGTCCAAAAGAAGACTGAAGAAGGTTGGCATTCTACATTCTCATCGACTCCACCCCACTTCTCATGCATGGTAGGGCATGTATCTCCACCACATGAGAAAGCATCCATCACCAATTGGCTTTGGGATAGAGATGACACATATTTATTCTGACCACAGGAGTTGATTGAGTAGAAGAGTCACATGGTGCAATCTATTTTTAAGTAAATTTTAAGGAAAATTACTTTGGTAGCTGTGTAGGATGGACTAGAGTGGTGAGAGATTTGAAACAGAGAAACCAATTTGAAGCCTGTTGGCAATAATCTAGGTGAGAGGAAATAAGGGTCTAAATTAAGGTGATAGCTGTGTGAGTGGGAAAAGGAATCAGTGGCCAGAGATAGCACTTAGGTAGAAACACAAAGAGTCGACAACTGCCTGGAGATGTGAGGTGAGAGAAAATGGAGAGTCATGGATGACACCTTGGTTTGGATCCTGAGTGACTGAGAGGCTGGTGCCCTTCATGATAATACTTCAGAAGAGGAGATGGTTTGGAGTGGGGCAAGATGAAGTCCAGGTATTTTTCCTGTTACAAACATGTATAGTCAAGCAAAATAAACTTCCCCATTGACCATGTTAAAAAAAAAATAGTATCATTCTTCACTCTGAATCCTTCACCTCTTTATTAGGAAGTGGTTAGCATGTTTCATGAGACCTCTGGAAGTGTAGATAGTTATTACATTGATCAGAGTTCCTAAATCTTTCAAAGTCATTTGTCTTTACAGTGTTTGAATTGTTGTCATTCTGCTAATTTCCCTCTGCATCACTTCAACATCTTCTCAGGTCTCTCTGAAACCATACCCTTCATCATTTCTTGCAGCACAATAGTATTCTATCCCATTCATATACCATAACTTGTTTAGCCATTCCCCAATTGACGGGGCCCCTCAGTTTCTAATTCTTTGCCACTGCAAAAAGTTTTAAATATTTTTGTATATTCTTACTTAGAGTTAGTTGTGCTTATGACCAATCCCTCCCTTAATCTACCCTCTGTCTAATTCCCTCTTCTGTATTTTCCCCTTTCCCTTTAAGGAAAGTTAAATGAAATGTAATTCTTTACCCAAATTTCTCTCTGTCTGTATTTCTTCTTTTGAGCAATTTAGAGAGAGTGAGGTTCAAGTGTTGCCTGATTCACCTATCCCTTCCGCCTTGTTTTTTTATAGATGTCTACTTGCACCCCTATTTTATGAGATTATTTTCTCTTCCTCTTCCCTTCCCTTTCCATTCTTCTAAGACAATCAAGACAAAAGAAAACCGAGACATAACAGAATGACTTTCAATCCTTCTGTCTAATTAGACTTCTTCACCCTATAATGATCATAAGGTTCAGAAGAGAGACATACATCATCTCCACTTATCAGAATGCAGGAAGTCTATCCTTGTTCAGGTCTCTTAGAATTGTTCATTCATGTTTACCTCTTTTATTTTTCTCTTGATTCCTGTGTTTTTGCTTTAATGTTTTTGTGCAGCTCTTTTCTTTTCCTCAAGGATGTTTGGGTGTGCTCCATTTCATGAAAAAATCCACTCCCCCTCCCCCACCCCCATGTAGGATTATACCTAATTTCTTGGATGAGTTATTCTTAGTTGTAAGCCTATATCCTTTGCCTTCTGCAATATCACATCCCAAGTTTTCCATTCATTCAAAGGAGTGACTACTAAATAGTGTGTGATTCTGACAGTAGCTTTTCAGTACTTAAAGTCTTTTTGGATGCTTGCAGCATTTTTTCTATGTTCAAGAAGCTCTGGATTTGGCTGGTAGTTTTCATTTGGAGAGTACTTTTAGGGGGTGACCAGTGAGTTATTTCTATTCCTATTTTGTTGCCTGGTTCTAAGAGATCTGGGCAGGGTTTTTTGTGTGTTTGTTTGTTGGTTTAATTTTTGAAAGGTGGTGGCTTGGTTCTTTTATTAGTCGAAGCTTTCAGGAAGGCCACAACTGTTAAATTTTTTTCTTTTCTATGAGTTTTCCAGGCCAGTTGTTTTTGCTATGAGATACCTTACATTTTCTTCTATTTTTTCAAGCTTTTAACTTTGTTTTAGTATTTCTTGTTGTCTCATGGAGTCATTAGCTTCTATTTAACTCATTTTAATATTCGGGCAGTTTGTTGCTTAGGCAAGCTTTTGTGCCTCTTGTGCCAAGCTGTTCATTCCCCTTTCCAATTCTTTGTTCCATAACTCTCATTACTCTAAAAAAATTTTTTTTCCTCTATGCTTTCATTTCATTTACAAAATAATTTCATACTCTTTTGAAAAAATAAAACTCTTGCTTTATGTCTTCCAGGAATTCTAGATAAATTTATGGCTAATCTGTGGTTTGGTTTTTTTTTTTTTGAGGCTTTTTCTTGTCGATATTTTGGAGTATTTGACAGTATTCCTATTACTATAACAGCTGTTTATGGTGGGATTTTTTTTTTGTTGTTAGCTCATTCTTCCAGCCTACTTCATGACTTTGGACTTTATGTTAAGGCCAGGTTCAGTTCACTCATGAGACTGAGCTCCTTGAGGGCAGGGATTTGTTGCTGCCTTGTTTTGTATGCCCAGGGCTTTTATCGGTTCATGCTTGCAAAGATGTCCTCATTGTTTTCAACTGGCTTCTTCTTAGAAGTCATTTCAAATCCCCGGGAAAGGGCATATCCATGGAATTTAAGGTACTGGTTAAACCCTCTTGACCCAGCCATAGAGTCACTTCCCCCTGAGTCTCCATAGTCACTGTCGCTTTTGGGTGGGGCCAAAGGCAGGTTAGTTACACGGAGCCTAAATGTGCCTCTCTGCAGCTTCCGTCTATTACTCCTAGTTAGGGGTCCTCAGTCTACTTTTGACTGCCAGGGTAAGCATTCTCTTGAGTTCATAGCTTTTTTTTTTTTGGACAAAAGAGATAAAGAGGTTTAATCCCATGGTCCTAAAAAGCCTTTGATATTGGGTGAACCTTTCCATTATCCCATGAAGCAAAGGAAAATCATGGACAGCTTAGGTAGGGTGGTGAGGATAGAAAACCCTTGACATAAACCCTTTTAATAAAGGAATGCTGACTTCCTCTCAATCTTCCCATGGAAGAGTGAGAAGTTTAATTTAAAATAGTTGGGGCATCTTCCCAAGTTGTCAGGGAACTAGTTATAGTTGAAATTTAGGGGCCCACTCAAGGGCACTCTTCACCACTGATAAAGCAACCACTCCCAGAGCCACTATCAGTACCATCACTGCCAGCTCCACAAAACAAGTGGTCCTTGATTTGTTCAGGATATTTTTTGTCAGATCTTCAGACTGCAAGAACCCTGGGAAGTGCTGTGACCACACCATGTCCAGCCTTTGCTGGGCAGATGCCAGCTCAAAATCTTTATTATTTATTTATTCACTGTGAGGCAATATTGTGCTGCTGTTTGTCCTTCATTCTAGAAAAGGACCATGACATCAGAAAGGTGATGCCAGGACTTGCAAGTGAATTGAAGTGAGGGAGGGCTGGGCAAAGTCACCAGCCTCACTGCCTCTTCCAGAGCCATCTGGGTCTAGTGGCAAGATATAGACCAGGATGACTGGAGGTGGTGGCCCTGGATACAGTGGGAGACCTTGGCCTTTTTAAGCTAAAGTCTTTCCCGGGTCTCAGTTTGACTGAGGCAACACCCCTTCAGTGATTAAGGCTAGGTAAAAAGTGAGTCAAAGAATGTCCTCTTTTACCTAGTCAAAAAAATCCCAAAAACCTGGGAGGAGAAGACACTCAGGGTTTGGGGCCAAAACAGAAACAATTGTTACTTACATTCACTCTGAGCCATCAGGGCACAAACAACGACCATTAAGTGGGGCTTGTGCTGGAACCTATTGTTGGCCAATCATTGACAGCCAGAGACCAAAGGACCAAAGACTTGGTCCTTAAGAAAGAAATGTAGCCCATAAACCCTAACATGTCCTTCGAGTTTTCATTGATCAAAATTTAAGGCAAGGCAAAAAGAAAAGAGAAAGGAAAGACAAAGAAAATGGAAATAGAAAAGAGAAAGGAAAAGGAAATGGAAAAGAGAAAAGGAAAAGGAAAGGAAATGGATAAGGAAAAATAAAAGGGAAAGGAAAGTAAATCTGGCATGATCTATGCTTGGTAAAGCCACGTGGGTCCTTTGTGATAGCTACTTCTTTTTCCTCACTGCTCCCTAATTATCCCTTGAAAAACATGTTGCACAGTTTGCCAGTCATCAAAGTCAAACTCACTGACCTATGGCTGGAAGATTCCATTCTCTTCTAGTTTTGAAAATTGGGACATTTGTGCTTCTCCATCGCTACAGCCCTTCTCCCATTTTCCCAGATTTCAATACTGTACCTTACCTTGAAACTTTCATTAGTATCTAGAACCTCTTCATCCTGGAGCATCCTTCAGTATTGGCCCTCTTCTCCCAGTGGTGAGTTCCTCCTGGGGCCAATCTTCACTTCTGTCCCAGTTCTGCTTCTGACTTTCTGTACTTAGACACTCTTCCCTCTTCCTTCCAACCCTTTTCAGTCTCCCATTTGTATATTATCTTCAATCAGTCAGTCAATTATTAAACATTTATTTTATTAAGTGCCTCCTATGTGCCAGGCACTATACTAAATGCTGGGGTTACAAAAAAAAAAGGCAAAAGACAGTACCTGCTCTCCGGGAACTTACAATCCAAGAGGGAGATAACATGGAAATAAATATATACCAAGCAAGCTATAAATAGGATCAATAAGACATAAGCAGCAGAGGAAAGGCACTAGAATGAAGAGGGGTTGGGGAAGGCTTTTAGCAGAGTGGATTTTACTAGAGACTTAGAATGGCTCCTTGAGGCCAGGGACTATCTTTGAATTCTCAGTGTTCTCTGAGATCTTTTAGCTACTCCATGTGCCCATTCTTTTAGCATACCAAAGTGCAGCTCTAGGATATCAAACGATATACTATTTGTCTTTTTCTTTTTTTTTTTTTTTGGTGAGGCAATTGGGGTTAAGTGACTTGCCCAGGGTCACACAGCTAGTGTGTCTGAGGTCACATTTGAATTCAGGACCTCCTGACTCCAGGGCGGGTGCTCCATCCACTGCTACACCTCACTGCCCTGAGATATACTTGTAAAGCACTTTAACACAGTAAACAGTGCATTTTAGTTGGGACCTGGAAGGTAAGCTCCTTGATTTCAGGGACCCATCTTTCTCCTTTGCCTGCATTTGGATTCCCATCGTTCTCCAAGACCTTTTAGATACCCTGTCTGCCCAGGTCACATTGAATTTTAACTCAGGTCTTCCTGACTCCAGGCTCAGTTTGATGAAAGAAAGAAAGAAGGAAAAGAAAGAAAGAAAGAAAGAAAGAAAGAAAGAAAGAAAGAAAGAAAGAAAGAAAGAAAGAAAAAAGAAAGAAAGAAAGAAAGAAAGGAAGGAAGGAAGGAAGGAAGGAAGGAAGGAAGGAAGGAAGGAAGGAAGGAAGGAAGGAAGGAAGGAAGGAAGGAAGAAAGAAAGAAAGAAAGAAAGAAAGAAAGAAAGAAAGAAAGAAAGAAAGAAAGAAAGAGAGAGTCATTAAAAATAGATACTGGTGAGGGAAAATGTATTCCAGTTATAATCGTGTATGAAGTATGAAAAAGTTGAATCTGACCATCACAAAAAAAAAAAAAAAGAGTTAACTGGCTGGGACAGAGAGGCTTTACAGGACTGCCTTCCTCTGAAGGTCCCGAACTTTTCTTAGGAATAACAGTGAGGAGGATCACACAAGGTGCCGGGGCACATGCTGTAGGGTATCAGTAACCAGCCGTTAGCCACTTAACCCTTTGGCTGTCGGAAACTGCCAAGCAGACAGGCTCTAGAAGAAGGGAAAGAGCCGGACCTTGTGGGTGTGTCCGGTCTCCCTGTCCTGGCTGGGGATTGAGGGGAGGAGGAATGGATGAGAGGAATTAATAGCCAGTTTAGGAGTGGGCGTGGAGGTGGGCGGGGAAGATGAAGGTAGAAGCAGGGGTGGGGTGAGAATAGGCCTAGAGGGAGGGGCGGGGTTTAGGGAGAGCTAGGCAGGGTGACTCTTAGGGCCCAGAGAACCCCTCCCTCACCTTCCTCCGGTCGCCTGGAGCAAATAAATCCTTGTCACTGGCTTAGTTTCCCCAATTGCGCAGAGTGCCAGAAGGTAAGGAAAATGTACCCTATGTGACCGAGGGAGAGGAAAGAGGAAAGGAAAAGGGAAAGAGGAAGGAAAGGAAAGGATGTTCGTTCGGGTGCGTGGAGGTGCATCTATCTCTCTGTTTTTCCATCTGTCAGTCACTGTATCCTTTCACTGGTGCCTGTTCCTTTCAAGTCTTCATGACATCCTCCTAGAGCCTTGGATATCGCTTGTCCTGGGGTTTGTGGAAGGCAGTGGAAAGGGAAGAGGGGAATAGCAGAACAAGGGGAGTGTGTGTGTGTGGGGGGAGGTGTCAGGGTGATCACCCTGAGCTGAATGTATCCCTTATTTTCAGGTGGACTGGGGCTTCCCTTACTTCCTGAAGATTAACTTCACCTGCCCTGGAGAGGTGAGGGAGGGGTGGAGAATGAGGAGGGAGGAATAGAACCAGGTGGGCATACAGTCACAGGGTAGGTGGAGGGGAAAATCCAGATTTAGGGAGGGATCAGTGAAGGTTCCTGAGGGGTGGGGAATCATCTTAGGATGAATCAGGGAGGGTGACCTCTAGCTCACCCAAACCATCCTTGGGGGACCCTCCCATCAGAAGATGCCCCTCCACTTCCCTGGTTTCCACCCATGACTCCTTGCCTGGGCTCCGCAGCTCTGGACTCCCCACCCTAATGGTGTCCCTACTACTGCTACTGCTCTTGCTGGCACCAGTCCAGCTGCGGGAACAGCTGGAAGAAACCTGCCAATGGCGAGTGGTGCTCAACAAGTACCAGGCCTTGGGAAAGGGCAGTGAAAGGTTTTTCAACCAAGAACCAGTTTCCGATGTCAACAGATACTTCGGGGAGCTAGGGGATTCACCGATTGACCATGAAAAGGTAGATGCCTGGCCCAGCTGTCCCTCTGGCCTTTCCCCCACCTATGCTGTCTGTCCCTTCCACAGCATCCTCCTAGCTGCCCACCCATCCCTCTCTGGCTTGCCATCTTTCCAACTGTCCTCTGACCCTCCAGGCTTCCATCCATTCCACTTGGCTCCTGTGTGTCCACCCTGGTCTCTTCTTGGGCGAACAAGTCCCTTTTACCTCTCTTGGCCTCAGTTTCTTCACTTGTGAAGCAAGGAGGTTGAATAAGACGGCCTTTAAGTCCCTTCCAAATCTCAATCTCATCTCTCTTCTTCCATCTCTCCTTCCATTCTACCCTTTCATCCCTCCTCCCGTTCATCTATCCCTTTGTCTTTCCATCTGTCTGTCATTGTAGCCTTTCTTTGGTGCCTGCTCTTTTCCAGTCTTCAGGACACCCTCCCAGAGCCTTGGATATCCCTTGCCCTGGGGCTTGTGGAAGAGGGTGGGAAGGGAAGAGAGAGAGAGAGAGAGAGAGAGAGAGAGAGAGAGAGAGAGAGAGAGAGAGAGAGAGAGAGGGAGGGAGGGAGGGAGGGAGGGAGGGAGGGAGGGAGGGAGAGAGAGAGAGAGAGAGAGAGAGAGAGAGAGAGAGAGAGAGAGAGAGAGAGAGAGAGTGGGTGTGTGTGTGTGTGTGTGTGTGTGTGTGTGTGTGTGTGTGTGTGTGTGTGTGTGTGTTGGGGGGGGAGGTCAGGGTGATCGCCCTGAACTGGATGTATCCCTTATCTTCAGACATACTGGGGCTTCCCTTACTTCCTGAAGATTAACTTCACCTGCCCTGGAGAGGTGAGGGAGGGGTGGAGAATGAGGAGGGAGGAATAGAACCAGGTGGGCATACAGTCACAGGGTAGGTGGAGGGGAAAGTCCAGATTTAGGGAGGGATCAGTGAAGGTTCCTGAGGGGTGGGGAATCATCTTAGGATGAATCAGGGAGGGTGGCCTCTAGCTCACCCAAACCATCCTTGGGGGACCTTCCCATCAGAGCTTGGCTTCCTGCTCCCCAGCATCTTCCCTCCTCTTCCTACCCAGCTCCCCCACCCTCCCAAAGGAGCTTCTGGACCCTGCCATCCCTGCTTCCCCAATCCAACCTATTTCCATATTCAAATCCTCAGCTACTCCCAAAATGGAGAGACCTTGGAAGATTCCCTGGAGGCCGAGGGAGGGGAATGTTGTCTCCCCTGGCAGATGGGAAACTCTATCCCTAGAGGTCAGTTCCTGTGTGGCCTTTCCAGGGAGGTTGGTTGTGTAGGAGGACTCCTGTTGATAAGGAAGACACGGGTCCCCGGGGATCCCAGTAGGGAACTTGGCTCCTGGAGGGCTCACCTAGCCTTCAAGATGGTGCTGGTGCCTTTATTCCCACAGGGTACTTTCTTATCTTTAGTTTCTCTCCAGCTTCCAGGAATGAAGCCAGGATTAATGCCCTGGATTCTTGCCTGGCAGAGTTCTGTTCTCTGCCCCAGCTCCCTACCCCGTTCATTCAGATAGGGAGGGTCAGAGGCCTTTCCCTAACGTCAAGGCCCAGGCCTAGGCACACAGTGGGTGGGATGGGGGGGTGGTCTGGCCATGCTCATAGACTGGTCAGTGCCACTCCGTCTTTGGCCTACACTCAGAATTCAGAAGCCTTTGTCCGTGGAGGCCACCTTAAGGGCCTCATCCCCATTGTGCTGGTCACCTTCTATGCCCCCGTGAATTTCCGGAGATGGAAAGCAGAGAGATTGCAAATCGAGATGAAGGGGGCACCATTCAGAAGTCTTGGTGAGGGTCCTCCCCAACAATGGGCTGGGCACCAGGGGTTAGGAAGGACAATGTCTTGGAGAAGGAGGCTGCCAGAGGGTTCTTGCCAAGAAGTTGGACAAGATGAGGAGTAGACCTCTCCTTAGCTAGTTCAGCACCTGGGGAATGGATGGGCATAGGGAGGAAGTCTGAGTATCAGGCCTTGTGAGGTCCAAATCCCTGGACACTCACCTGGGGCACCCGGAGGCCCCTGCTGCCTAGTCAAGAGTTCACCTGCAGGTCACAAAGACCTTAGAATCCCCACACTAGCTGGCCACCTTGGGCTTTCCCCTTTTGCCCACTTTTCACACTTGGGTTCAGTTGTGTTTGAGTAGGGTACAGTGGCCCATCCCTCAGAAACCTGGCCTGTTAGACCATGCTAATGATCCCTAAGGACCCCCATCTATGGGAGAGGGGAAGAAGGCATAGCCCACCCTGAGGTCTGGCACCCTGCACCAGGGCCCCAGTCCCTCAGTAGGGTTCTAGTAAGGAGGGAAGGTGAGGCAGTGCTGTCTGGGTAAGGGTAGCCTCCAGCCCTGTGCCCTCCTCATTTCATCCCATACTTACCAGTGTCCTGCTTGGCTGAGGAAGCCTGTGTCATGAATTGGTATACCCCGATGCCCATGAAGAATGGTACTGTAGTGATGGAAGTCAAAATCTCCAGCAACCAAGTGGGGGAACTCATTGGTAACACCAGGTGAGTGGAGTCCCGGGCATCTTTGTGGGCAATGGGGGATGGCGGAAGGCACAGTTGAACTCGCTGACAGCAGAGCCAGGATCTGGTTTGTAGACAGAGGGCTAGACCAAGTAAGCAGAATCTCAAAACCAAAATTGACCCAAGAGCTTACCTAGACCAATCGACTACTCCCAGCCCCATTTTACAGATGAGAAAACTGAGGCCCAGGCAGGCTAAGTAAAGATGAGTAGAATATAAGCTCTTTGAGGGCTTAGTACATGGCGGGTGACCAATAAATGTTTGTTGAATTGAGTTGGATTAAAAGAGAAGGATCCCTTATACACTTGAAACTTACTAGCAGTGTGACCCTGGGCAAGTCGCTTAACCCTGATTGCCTCACTAAAAAGAAAAATAAAAAGGATCACAGATTATAGAATACTTCACCTGGGAAAGCTCAGAGGCCATGGAGTCCAAACCCTTCATTTTACAGATGAGAAAACTGAGGCCCTGGGAGGGGCTTAGCTCTGCAAGGCATCTTCACAGAAATGATGATTGAGCCCATGGCAACCAATGAGAGATCACCAACTGAGATACCATAGAGGGGCAGAGCCAAGGTGGCAGTATCTAAGGTCACAGAAGTCCTAGGTGTCAAAGGCAGGATTTCAACCCAGGTCCTCTGAATTCAAATTCAGTGTTCTTATTACACCAGGTTGCCTCCTGTTCAGGGCCAGGGACCTGAGGCCTGAGAGGGGCAGTGTTTGGGCATCAAGTTAGGGTGAGGGGTGAGAAGTCTCCATTGGGTCTGGCAGGAGACTAGAAGGCTATTCCCCCTCCTTCTGCAGGTACATGATAAATATCAATGGGTTTCTAAAAAAAGACAAGGACAAACTGATCTTTACCCTGGGAAATAAGGTGAGAACAAGTAGGGAAAGGGGATGGGAGAAAGGCTGAGAGGCATGGTGTGGGGGGAAGCTGATTCTCTTAACTGAGCCTCCTGGCTAAGATGGGGGAAGCCAGCATCTCTTCCTTTCTTCTCCCATTGTGTCCCTTGGACCTCTCCCCTTAGGTCATGGCCATGACCCACAGGCACTTCATCAATGCACCATCTAGGCCTGTCTGGGCTACAGTGGACCAGGCTCCTGTGCTCATCCTTGGGGGTATTCCAGAGGAGAAGATGATTCTCATCTCTGACTCCAGCTTCAGGGAAATCTCCCTGGTGGAGGTGAGGGAGGCTGAGTGGCAGCTGACTGTGGGGATGGAGAGTGGGCAAGAGTGGACATTCTCTAGACTTGGGAAGGGAGGGAGGGAAGGAGATACTGATGCCCAGGAGTGGGGTGTCGCAAGACCTCACCTAAGCCAAGGGGCACGTGGCCTCATCCCTCTGCCAACGAGGCACCATGGCATGGTGTGCGGTAGGGATTGTGGGGGAGAAATGGGGAGGGAGCTGGGTTCCAGCCTCCATTTTGCCTCTTAGTTGCCAAGTCCCTTGGTCAAGTCTCTTCATTGTTACTCCTTTGAGACTTCAGTATCTTTATAAAGGAGGGGGCTGTGGTGGCCTACATGACCTCTAAGTCTTCTTCCTGTCCTCGATCCTGTGAATCTCCATTCGTGCCCTGGTTGTCTCAGCTGAATATCGATAGCTGCTGGCTGGGCTCTCTTCAATGCCCTCAGGAGCACTTCACGGCCTCCATCTTTGACACCATCTCCACTGAAAGTGTCCTCTTCATCCGACAGAACCAACTTGTCTACTATTTCACCGGCAACTACTCCCACTTTCCTCAAAAAGCAACCAGTGAGAAGCTGGGGATGGGAAGAACTGTGAGAGTAGGGATTGGGCCCTCCCTCCTAGATCCAGCCTCTCCCCCTCCCCACTCTGGTCAGACTGGCTTCTCTGATTCTGGGGTCTGACTTCCCCACAAAGGAGAATGATGATCTAAGAGACCATAGAATGCAGAGCCTTGAACCAGATGCTGAGGAAGAGCCAGCTGGGGTGATGAAGGGAAGAATGATTCAGAGAGTTTGAGGACCAGTTTGATTGGTTTACAGGAGTGAACCTTTGGGAAGTCTGATGGGTGTCCTTCCAGGGAGAGAGCGGGCATGTCTATGGGCACCTTATGAAGAAGACAGGGGATGGCTACTGGGCATGCCCACTCTCTCCGTGAGGAGGAACCCCAAGGGCTTGCCTCTCTCCCTGATGGCTTATCTAATTATTAGGGGAGCTCATCAGACTGCCCAGAATTTACACAAGGCCAAGTTCCTTCCTTTGTCTTAGAGCCCATACAGGGTCATGACTTAAGCAGAGAATCTATAATATCTGAGAGCCCGAGAGAGGGGCACAACTAGGGGTGTGTATGTGGGAGGGAGGCAGGTTGCTTTTTCAACAGCAATCTTGGGGAGGTTATAGAGGCTTCCTGAGGAAAGCTAAGCCATTCTCAGATGGTTCTGAGGAGTTTCTGTGATTTAGCTTCCCACTGGAAGAATGAGGGGATGCAAGTTTTGGAGGAGTGGAGGGTGGAGAATACCAGCCCTGAGAAATGCCTTACCTCTCCCCAGGCAATTGGGTCCAAGTCTTGCATAGTCACCGTATCAAGAAACTTTGTCCTGTGGAATTCCACAACCATGGCCTGAGTACATCCTGGCCTTGGCTGGAGGTGATCAGGAGGGCTTCTACTTTGGGGTCATCACAGGTAGCCTCCTTCAGCTTCCTTTCTCTGAAAAGGGACTCCCAGCTCCTAAAACTGTGGGGTGGTGATGTGTGACCCAAGGTTCTGTCAGGTCCTCCTTTTCTGGAGCCTTACACTTCTTTTACCTCTATTCGAATACATGTTTACTAAGGATGGGAACTTTGGAGTACCTCCAAAGACCAAGCTGCCTCGATGGTAACAGTGCATTTTTTTAATCCATAAGGGCAAAGCAAATCAAGGCAGTAGGATGAAAAATTTAATTCAAAGTGAAATCATAATATCTGCTTAAAAATATTAGTATTTAAAATGCATTTGCACAGATAAGAACTATAGCAAAACATAAAAAATAATTTTTGCATCAATTGATGTCCTTCTAATGTTTTAACCTGCTTCGAACGTACAATGTATCACTTCTGTCATTTATTGCCTGCGTGACCTTGAACAAGTCTCTCTGCCTGGGTCTCACTTTCCTCATCTATAAATGAAGGGGTTGCACTAGATGGCCTATGAAGTCCATTTCAGCTGAGATCTGTCCTAAGTTTCATTTTGAGTTTGAAATGCCCATGAGAAAATGAAAATTGGCTCCTGCATTCAATTTGGGGATACATTACATATATATGCAAATGTAAAATAAATTGAGGGGAGAGAGCCTTAATGAGAGGGTACAGGAGGTGGCACCTCAGTGTGGGACATTCTTTGCAAGACACAGAGTTGGTAGATGGAATATTGGTACTTCTAATTTTGACCTGGGATGGTTAATTGATGGAAAAGGAGTAATTAGAAATAAGCCTGGAGAGTTAGTTTGGAGAAAACTTCAAAGGTCTTTAAATGCCCGATTGAGGAGTGTGTATTTTATTCTGGAGGCAATGGGGATGAAAATTCTGTGATTTTTGAGTAGGAGTATGACCTGGTGGGACCTGTGCTTTAAGAATATTAATGTGGCAGCTGTGTGGGGGATGAATTGGAGAGGGGAGATCCCAGAAGCAGAGAGACCAGTCAAGAGCCTGTTACAATAGTCTAGGCAAAGGTGGTGAGAGCCTGAACACCACGGTATATGGAACAAGGAGGTAAAGAGAAGGGGATGGATTTGAGAGACATGGAGATAAGACTTGGTGACTGCTTGGATAGAAGAGAGAAGGAAGAGAGAAGAAACAAGGATAATTTCAGATTTGTGAGTCAAGGGGACTGGAAGGATGATGGTATCCATAACAGAAACAAGGAAATTTAGGGGAGGGTGGGTTTCTGGGGAAAAAGAACAAGTTTCATTTTGAATTTGGGGTGCATTAAGATGTGCATTGGGCATCAAGATAGAGATGTCTAGCAAAGTAGTTGGTGATGTGGGCCTGGTGTTTTGGAGAGAGGCTAGGGCTTGATACAGTATACCAATTTGGGAGTCATCTTCACAGGAATGATGATTGTACCTGTAGCACGTAATGAGAGATCACCGAATAAGATAGTGTAGAGAGGCAGAGCAGGGATGGAAGAGTAAAGTGAGCTTTTATTCCTGAGCACTCCCAATATTCCCCATTGAACAATTTTCTTTTTTTTTCTTTTCTTTCTTTTGTGTTTTGTTTTGTTTTGTTTTTTAGTGAGTCAGTCAGGGTTAAGTGACTTGCCCAGGGTCACACAGCTAGTAAGTGTCAAGTTTCTGAGGCCAGATTTGAACTCAGGTCCTCCTGACTCTATAGAAGGCCGGTGCTCCATCCACTGTGCCACCTAGCTGTCCCTCCACTAAACGATTTTCAAAAATGCATCAAATTAAATTTTAAGTGGAATAACCAACAAAAAGTCACAGTGAGTCATTTTTCCAGCCCCAGGTGACTTAGGAAGCTAGAGAGAAGTCTGCAGACTCCTGGGGTGGGGGCTGGCTGGGGGTACATCATGATGGAAGCAACACCAACTGTGGGTCCTGTAAACACAGCAGCAGCACCAGCAACAGCAACAGGTACTGGGAATACTTAGCACCCAGAAGACAATAAGGGTACTGAATAGCTGGTCAGGAAAAAATGTGCATGGGACCTCTATACTAGCAGTGGGTTTAGAACCAAGAACCATTTGGCAACTCCATTGCCCATTACACAGTTCCAAGTTGTAGTTCCAGGGTAGATAGGAGTCCTTACAGTTGTAAAGAAGCTGGGGGTCCTACCTAGGAAGCAACCAGAGCACAAACCAGGAGGAGGGTCATGACCAGAGCTCACGCTAGATCACAATACCCTTGGAAGCACCCAAAATTTATAGCCCCACCCCTCCAGATCTAGCCATGAAAGCAGCATGACATAAAAGCCTGAAGCTCAGTCCAGTCACCCTCTCACACAGACACCCATCCCAGAGGGGAGCAGAGCCCAACTCTAAAAGTCGAAAGTCAAGAAATAGGCTAGAAAATGAGCAAACAATTAAAAAAACCTTGATTATAAAAATCTGTGGTGACAGGAAAGCTAAAGACAAAAACACAAAAGACCATGGCTTCAACATATCTGTAAGCAAAGCCTCCAAGAAAAATGTAGAGTGGGCACAGTCCTAATAATTCCTAGAAATAATATATTTTTTAAAGGTTTTAAAAATCATTTGACAGAGGAAAAAACGGAAAAGCAATGAGAGCGGTGCTAGAAAATTATGAAAAGAGAACAACTTGGTAAAAGAAGCCCTAAAAATGCTGAAAAAAATAACTCTTTAAAATTCAGAATTGGTCAAATGATTAAAAAAAAAAGCAGCTATAAAACCACAATGAAGGAAAAAAGCCTTAAAAATTAGAATTGGTCAACTGGATGCTAATGTCTCCATGTGACATCTAAAAAGAGCAAAAAAAAATTAAAAGATTGAAAAAATTGGGACAGTTAGGTGGCACAGGCCTTGGAGTCAAGAGAACTGGAGTTCAAATCCAGCCTCAGACCCTTGACACTTACTAGCTGTGTGATCCTGGGCAAGTCACTTAACCCTGATTGCCTCACACACACACACACACACACACAAAATAGAGGAAAATGTGGAATAGCTCGCAGGAAAAATAATTGTCCTGTAAAATACCGAAGATGAGATCATTTAAAAATTATTGCATTACCCAAAAACTGTGATTTAAAAAAAAAAAAGAGCTAAGACATAAGATATCATAGAACCAGAGGGCAAAATAGAAATTGAAAGGATCCATTGCTCACCTCTCAAAAGTGGTCTCAACGTGTAAACTCTCAGGAATCTTATAGTCCAATGCCAGAGTTCTCAGGTCAAGAAGAAAATACTAAAAGCAGCCAGAAAGAAACATTTCAAATATCATAGAAGCACAGTTAGGATCGCATGAGATTTAGCAACTACCATGATAAAGAAGTGGAGGGCTGGGCATGTGGTATTCCAGAAGGTAAGAAGCTAGGATTACAATACCCAAGAATAACCTACCCAGAATAACTAAGCATAATCTTACAAGGGAAAAAAAGAATTTTAATGCAGTAAAAAACTTCCAAACATTCCTAATAAAAAGACTTGAGCTGAATAGGAAATACAATATTCAAACATAAGACTCAAGATATGCATAAAAAGGTAACATGAGTGAGGCACCATAGGGGAACTTAATAAAATTAAACTGTTTATATTCCCAAATGGGAAGCTGATACATGTAAGCAACCCCTAAAAACTTGGTAATCATTACAGCAGTTAGAAATAATCTACTTAGACAGAGGGCATGGGTGTGAGTCTGTTTTGTTGGGATGATCTCAAAAAAAAATGGAAGAGTGAGAAAGAGGGATGCACCGTGAGAAGGAAAATTATCTGACATAAAAGAGGTGCTCAAGGTAGAGTTTTTACAATGAAGGGGAAAATAGGCGGCTAGAGTAGCCTGTCAATGCTTTAACCTAATTCTTATCTGAACTGGTTTAAAGAGGGAAGAATACACACACACACACAAATAAATATATATGTGTGTATATCCGTATATGTATTATATATATGCAAATATACACATATATGTATATATGTATGTATATATGTGTGTGTGTGTGTGTGTGTGTGTGTGTGTGTGTGTCTGTGTGTGTGTGTCCCACAAACAATTGGGTATAGAAATTCATCTTACCCAACAGAGAAGTAGGAGGGGAAGGGACTATGAGAAAAAGGGGTAGTTATGATAAGAGGGAAAGTAGTTTGAGGTAGGTAGTGGTTTAGAAGGGAACAGAGTAAAAAAAAATTAGAAGAATAAATAGAAGAGAATAGGTTGGGGGAAAATACGCATTTAGGAAGCATAATTGTGAATGTGAATAGGATGAACTCACCCATAAAATGTAAGAGGATATCACAATGCATTAAAACAAGAACCTAACAATATGTTGTTTAAAAGAGACACACTTGAAACAGAAAGACACACAAAGAGTTAAAATAAGGGAATGCAGCAGAATCTTATGCTTCAGCAGAAGTTAAAAAAAAAGGAAGGGGTAGCAATCTTGAACTGAGATAAGGTAAAAATATAAATAGATCTTTAGTCAGGGAAACTACATTTTGCTAAAAGATATCATTGCTGAAGGTAACAATGAATTAATATTGATACTGAAAATATATGCATGGCACATATGGCATGGCATCCCTGTTATTTTTTTATCCAAATTTTTTGGTTTTGTTTTTTGGTGAGGGGATCAGGGTTAAGTCACTTGCCCAGGGTCACACAGCTAGTAAGTGTCAAGTGTCTGAGACCAGATTTGAACTCGGGTCCTCCTGATTCCAGGGCTGGAGCTCTACCCACTGTGTCACCTAGCTGCCCCTTTTTATCCAAATTCTTAAAAGTCAAATGAATTATAAGAGGAAATAGACAGTAAAACTATAATAGTGGGGGACCTCTATTTACTTCTCACAGACCTAGATAAATCTAACCATAAAATAAAAGAGAAGTTAAGATGAATAGCATTTTAGAAAAGATATGGAGAATATTGAATAGGGATAGACGAGTATACCATTTGTGTGTGTACATGACACCTTCACAAAAATTGACAATGTATTAGGGCATAAATCCAGAAACAAATTCAGAAAGGCAGAAATATTGAATACACGCTTTTTGAATCATAATGCACATAACGCAAGATTTGTAGCAGGGGGTATGGACATGCTATCCTACTGACTGTGTCAACTGTCAGGACACAAGATGTATTCAAAGAAACGGTTGCCCTGATTATGCCTAATGTAGGGTAGTAGACCCTTTGAGAGATTACCAGAGTTACCAGAGAAAGGTCATCCCTATGCCAGCATAGGGAATATAGATGTAGGTTTATTAGGGTTAATTGGTTAATTGGTGGGATTTATTCACAGGACTAGTCCTTGGCAGCATGAAGACTGCACAGTGGATCCTTGCATTACCCTTAGGCTAGGTCAGTTATTATATAGAAACAGAACAAAGATGGCATAGGGCAAGGGATGGCCCAGCATCATGTGAGAAAGTGTTTGTTCCTATGAGCTAGTTAGAGCGTCTTTTCCTGTTTATATTCATTCAAGGTAGTTTAATTAACTGTGAGACTCAAGGTCTTGTTCCCAGGCCCTGGCTCCCACTATACAATGCAATAAAAATTACTTTCCATAAAGGACCTTGGAGGTATAGATTAAAACAAATTGGAAAGTAAATAATCTAATATTAAAGAATGGGTGAGTCAAAGAACAAATCATAGAATAATTTCATTCAAGATGATGACAGTAAGGAGATGACATAGCAAAATTTGTAGGTTGCAGCTGAAGCAGGATTTAGGAGAATTTTATGTCTGAATACTTACATTAATAAAAGAGAGAAAGAGTAGATCAATGGATTGTGCTTGAACCTAAAAAAAAAAAGCAAAAGTAGAAAAACAATTTAAAAATTCCTAATTAAACAGCAAAAATGTAATCCTGAAAATCAAAGAAGAGATTAATAAAATTAAAAGTAAAAAAAGAACTAATAAAATTAGGAGCTAGTTTTATGAGAAAAATATAGATGAACCAATATTTAATTTGCTTTTTAAAAAATACCAAATTACCAGTATCAAGAATGAAAAACGTGGCAAATACGTAACCAATGAAAATGAAATTAAAGCAATGATTAGATGCTATTTTGCCCAGTCATATCCCAATAAAACTGATTATCTAAATGAAATGGACAAATATTTATGAAAATATAAATTGTCCACATTAACAGGAAACAGAATGTTTAAATAACCTTATATTGGAAAAAAAAGAATTCAGGGGGCAGGTAGGTGGTGCAGAGGATAGAGCACCAGCCCTGAAGTCAGGAGGACCTGAGTTCAAATCTGCACTCAGACCAAACACTTGACACTTACTAGCTGTGTGACCTTGGGCAAGTCACTTAATCCCAATTGCCTCACCCCCCCCAAAAAAAAGAAATTGAACTAGCCATAAATGAGCTCCCTGAGGAAAAAGACCAGATATAAGTACCCAACTTTAAACAACAATTCTAATATTATATAACCTGTTTGAACAAATTGACAACAAAGAACCCTACCTAATTCCTTCTGTGTCACAAATATGGTTCTGATCTCCAAACCAGGGAGAGCAAAAACAGAGAAAGAAAACTATAGAGCAATTTCCCTAATGAATATCGAAGTCTCTCCTCTAAGACTTCCTAGCTGTGTGAGCCTGGGCAAGGCACTTCACCCTGTCTGCCTCAGTTTCCTCATCTGTAAACTGAACTGGAGAAGCAAATGGCAAACTACTCTGGTATCTTTGCCAAGAAAACCCCAAATGGGACCAGGAAGAGACAGGCGCACCAGTGAAATGACTGGACAACATACACATGTGTGGGCATGTGATTTTTCCCTCAGTAGAATATAAGCTCCTTGAGGGCAGGGATTGCTCCATTCTTTGTGTTCATATCACTAGCACCTAGCACATAGCCTGACAGATTTTCAGTGCTTAGTAAGTGCTTGTAGATTGACTGACTGATTGCTGCTTTCCTTCCATGACAGGATATTGTAGGTGACGCCTCACTCAATCGACCCACAAGCATCTATTAAGTGCCTGCTGTGGGCCTACCACTGCTATAGGTGGATAGGTGCTGGGGATACAAAGAAACAAAGCAAAACAGCCCCTGTCCTTGAGGATCTTACATCCTATCAATGGGTTGTAGAGCAAGGAGGCTTCCTCATTCAGTCCCCAAGTTTGTTAGTAATGTTGCACAGAGCTTTAACAAGGACAAGATAGTTGGGGTGCTTGCCCAGGGCACGCAAAGCAGAGAGGTGTCAAATTTTTTTAACTTATTTTTTTGTCCCAAGAATGCTAGGCCATTATATAATCTTGTCTTGATTCTGGTGCTGATGGCTGACACAGGGGTATGAGCTTTCTTCTTCCCCTGGCTGCCACCTAACTGGGTGCTAAGATCTGGGGGCAGTGCCATGCTGGTCACTAAATCCACTCCTTGAAAAGGACTGGGGTTAGATCCCACTGCATGGGGACAGTAATGGGGGACTCAGTACGAGAAGTGTGAAAGGCTGGGGGCCTGGGGTTCAGCAGTGACACCCAAAGAGGAAACGGAAAACACTAGTCTGAGATCAGGGACCAGGGCCGTCACATCCTTCTGAGAAGTCCTCCTGGCTCTCTATGCCCAACCTCATTTTGGGTTTGGTATGCTTATGGATTCCCTCTCTCTGGGATTAGAGGCTGCTCATCCTGGACCACTCTTAAGGCCTGGGAGTGAGAGGGAAGCTGCTCTGCCTTAACCCTAGGGCTGACTCCTCTCCTCATGCCCCACTTCTCCCTCCTTCCCCAGATGGCAAAGTGGCTTTTAAAAGGATGCCTAAAATGAGATCGATGTGTGCTATCCAGAAAGGTATGGATATAAGGTGGTGCTGGAGCCCTTCAGGGGTGGTGTTGGGGCCTAGGACTAAGGAGGAACAGTGGAAAGAGAGTGCTAGATTTGGTCAGTCCTCTATCTGCCACTGACCAGCTTTGTGACCTTGAGAAAGGCACTTCCCCCATCCTCGGGCTTCAGCTCCCTCATCTGTAAAAAGATGATGTTGGACTCAGTGACTTCTAAGGTCCTTTCCAGTTTCTGAACCTCAGGGAGTTTAGGGGTCTGGGAAGGCCATCATACCTGGGAAGGTCCTGAGCTCTCTGGAATGCTTGCAGCTTGGGGAGGAGTAATGGGCAGAGGCTATTTGGGAAGCTGTCAGTGCACAAAGGGGCTCTGGGTCTTTCCCTGGATGTGCCAACAGCCTCCAGTGGACAGCATCAGGCCAGCAGCCCTGGCTACCTCCCTGCAGCCCCAGGGTGTTGGCTCCACTGGGTGGTGTATGAGATGGAGAAAAATACTTTCTTGCTTCTCATGGAGTTTCCTCAAGGCAAAAAGACACATTTCCAGATTTTACAGTACTCACCAGTTCGTAGAGGCTCCCTTTTGGATTCGGTCAACTTGCTCTTTCAAATTTCCCCTTTCATCCCCTTGGGTAGGTGGAGGGACCTGAAAGACTGAGGGGGATGAAAAGGCTAGATACCTGGGGAAATCTGGGGAGGGAAAGAGAGGTGGTTTGGGCTGGAAGATCACGGGCTGGAGTGCTGGGGTCTAGGGAGTGAGTGGGGTTGAGATGCTGGTGAGGGGAGGGGGCTGTTACCTGGGGGAATTCACTACAGCAATGCTGGATCCCTGGACAGCTAATGACATGGATTTTGTGACGCTGCTGGGCATGGAGGAGTACACTATCCCCTGGTGCCCAAGGGTCTCTTCTACAACCCTTTCACCCATCTGCTGTTGATTTGGGGCAATGCTGTTCTGCAGAAGTGAGGGCAAAGGGGAAGGTGGGGGAAGGGCATCCAGGCCAGTAGCCATGTGCACACCTGGGACCACCTGAGCTTTGGGGGACCAGAAGCCTCTTCCTCTACCCTCATGCTCCCTTTGGGAATCGGCTACGGCCCTCCTTTCACCCACAGTGGACTAAGTCATCTAAGTGACTAGACATTGAGATGGTGGTAGTGGATGGAATGGTGGGCCTGCAGTAAGGAACACCTGAGTTCCAATCCAGCCTTAAACACTTAATAGCTGTGTAACCCACAGCAAGTTCCTCAGCCTCAGTTTCCTCATCTGTAAGATGGGAACAATAGCACCTGCCTCCTCGGATGGTTGTGAGGATATAAAATGAAGTGATATCTCTAAGTGTCTGTAAATGTAATACTAAGTCTAGATGCTGGCAGCAGGTGCCCTGAGACTGTGGGCTAGAGCAAAAGGAGCCCTGAGTTCAAGTTCAAGCACTCTGACTCATTGTATGATTCCAGCCCTATATTTCTCCATCTGTCCAGTAGGGACATTAGACCCTGGATTCCTTGAATCTTTAGCCTGGGGAGCTGGAGATATAAAGGGCAGGGAGGGGGTTGCATGGGGGCAAGTAGAGAGAGGCTGAGCTGTTTGGGGTCCTCTCCCCAGATATACTTGACCAAGCCTGAGTTCCACTCTCCTTCCCCCACAGCTATGACAATAAGAATTACATTTACCTGGATGATTTCCCCAAGGAGTCCTCAATAAAGTACATGGCCAGCTCCTACAAAGGCGAAGTGATCTGTGTCACTGAGAACGAGGAGGTGAGGAACAGGAGGTTGGCCTGACCACTCCATGGATTCTGCCTCCCTATTCTCTGCCCCTTCCTAAACTCAAGGCCCTTCGCTGGGGGCTCCTCTTCCCTTGCATAGCCCTGAATGCTCCTACTCCCCTCACCCTGGGCACCCTCCTTCCCAGCACCGCAGCTGATCCCAGCCTGGGCCCTCAAGCTCCTGTTCCTTCTCACTTTCTCCCTCCTTGTCCTTTCTGGGCTCTTGGCCCCCAGATCTGGTTCATTGTTGAAGGCAGCTTCAAGGTGCATCGTCTGTACCCATCAGATGGCTGGCAGATGCTTTTCACCCTTTCCCAGATGCAGACCTCAAGCCTATATTCAACCAACGAGACCTCAGTCAGTATCTTCTATGACAACATGGGTCCACAGCAGGTGAGCTTTAAAGAACGTGCAGACCGCCCAAGCTGGCCTAGCCACCCAAGAAGGAATCCTTCTACACAGGGCTGAAATGACCCTCTCTCTCCTCCTTTTAAACTCCTTCCTCCACAGCTAGTCTACCTGATTAATAAGAAAGGGGAAGGGAAGCTGGTGACAAGGCTGCTGCCAGTAAGTCAAATCTTGGTGTATCAGCTGCTGAGTCTCACAACCTATAAGATCAGTACTGAACTGTGAGTGAGCCTGAACCCAACTGCCCATCAGAAATGATAGAGTGGTTGGGGTGGGGTGGGGATAAAGGAAAGGTTGCTAGAGCCCAGAATCCCTGAGGGCCCCTCCCCTGCAAAGTCACCTTGAGGAGCCCTTGAATGTATAGCTGAGGCGCCATCTTCTCCATAAAGGCTTCTGGGACTCCACTATATGAAAGTACTGTTTCCCATCCCCATTTATTCTCATGCTTTGCCTAGACCTTCCTTCACAATGATCTCCTTACCTTGTTTCATAACTGTTTTTTCATTTGACCTTTCATCCCATTCTTTTGCTGTAAACTGTTTGGCAATAGAGTCTATGTTATATCACCATTTTTATTTTACCAAGTGGTTGCTGAATAAATAAATATGGACTAATGGATGAATGGATGGATGGATAGATGGATGGAAAGATATATAGATGGGTGAATGGATGCATGAGTGGATATATGAATGAATTAATGGGTGGGTGATATGCATATGGATGGATGAATAAATGGGCAGAAAGGTAAATGGATAGGTAAATTAATGGATAGACAATTAACATTCAGATATATGGGTAGAATGGTTAGATAAATAGATGAACAGTTAGATGGATGGATGATAAATGGCACGTGGATGGAAGGAACTGGGGGCTTTGCTCAGGCTAGGGCAGGAGTCCAATCCAATCTCTTTCCCTCCCTGTCCTTCCTAGGTACCCAGCGACCCTGTCCTACAATAACCCCTGCCCTTTTGAGCTGATGCAGCTGAGGGACCTGCCCAACCCACAACAATACACACGAATGGAGCGGTATCACGTACAGCCACCCTTTGTGAACTCTTGAGTCTGGCTTCCACACTGAAGTCTCTTTGGCCATCTACCAGGGCCTTGTCTACCACCTGCTCTCACTGCATGCCAAATATGATAAGGTATGTATGGGTGAATCCAGGAGGGAATGTCCAAAGCAGGCGAGAGGGTGGTTGGAGAACTCCAGGAGTTTCCTTCCCCAGCACCCGCCTGTACCTTCTCTCTTGCCTTTCTAGCCCTATGCGGATCCTGTCCATGACCCCACCTGGCGTTGGTGGAAGGATAAGAAGCAACATCAGGTGAAACGGATGGCCAGGAGTAGTCTCCCAGCTTTGTTTTCCTCACTCTGGTCATTCTTCTGCAGGGAGGTGGGAGGGAAGTCATGGGAGTGTGTGGGCAGGGATTGTGGGATTGGGGCCAGAGGTTTCTCAGCAGTGTGCTGCAGGACAACTGGTTGTTAAATTTTCAGGGTGAGCATTTATACCTTGGAAATCAGCAAACACTACAACTGGAGATCCAGTTGTTAAACCATCTACCAGCATGCCACTGGCCCTGGGGCTCTGGGACCTGAGAGCAGTAACACCATAGTCCAGAGGAACAACTAACTCATTGCATGAAAGACCTGAAACATATAGTCATTTATGCTTTGATGCTGGTGTGGCATCAGAAGGTCTTTAAGGATCTGTGCTGGGCTCTGTGCTAGTTAATATTTGTATCAATCACTTGGATCATGGCATAATATGCTAATTAAATCTGAAAGTGACAGAAAAGATAGCTTACACACTGGATGACACAATCAGAGGTTCCTAAACTTATTTGGCTTACTACCTCCTTTAAAAAAAAATCACTCATTGCCCCCTTGGAAATCTGCTTTCTTTAACCCTCCAAAGTTTTTAAAAAAAATTTGTGTAATTAAAAAAAAATATATATATATATATGTATATATATATATATAAATATAAATGACACATCTTAAATTTAATATTTTATTGTAAATCTGTGGAGTTTTTTTCTGCATTGAAATTTTGCTGGTGCAATATCTTGTCATATAACCATATAGTATTGTATTATAAACACGTCATTACATGCACATATTCCTGCTGATAACATGCTGGATTTCCTAACAATGCCAGACATGCTCAGCCCCCCAGCGCTTGCTTATTAAGACCTGTTGGTGAATTTGACCACTGATTGGTTATAACTTGCGTTTTGTGTGTTTATTTAGAAAATAATGTAATCACTATGACTTTAACTCTGTTATACAACAGATGAAACATGTACAAATGGTTTTTCAAAATTTTCTTTTCTTTTCTTCTTTCCTTATGCTTCCACCGCTCCCTTATTTTTATTCAATGCCTCCCAATTGCACCCAATGCTACTACATCCAACTTCATCATTGCAGGGCCCGTTGCGGCAGTATTGCCGACTTTGGGAACCTCCAGAACTAAAAACATTCAGAGCACAGCACTGAATCTAATATGATTCGATTCAAAAGAGTATAAATGTAAAGTCTGAATACTTGGGTTCAGAAAGTCGGTGTTCCAAGGATAAACTGGGGAAGGTGTGGCTACACATAGGAAAAAAAGATCTTAGATCTTAGTGGATTGCTAGCTCAGTATGAATTTACCTTTTGATGGGACAGCAAGAATGCTAATGCCATCTTTACTCCATTAAGAGAGAAAGCAGGGAGGTGATAGGAAGTCCACTTGTACTCTGCACCAGTCAGACTACACCTGGACAGTTACGTTTGGTGCTGGATGCTACATTTCTGCAAGGCCATTGACAAACTTCCATAGTCTAGAGGAGGGCGTGAAGGAAGATGAGGGCACTGGAGGTTATGCTGTGGGAGAATCTGTTGAAGGAACCGGCCATGCTTAGCCTGGACAAGAAAAGACTTAGCTGGAGACAGAAGAGCAGGATTTCATGTTGAGAGGGCTGTTGTATGAAAGAGGGATTCAAGTTATTCTGCTTTGCCTCACAGAGCAAAACTGGGAATAGTTGGGAGGAAAAGGGAGGAGAGGTAGGGAAGATGAAGAGAGGCAGATTTAGGGAAAACTCTCTAACTATCAGGGCTTTCCAGTAGAAGAGCTGAGAAAAGCTGGGTGAGGTTGGGGTGGGGCGGTAGAGAGAGGAGATACCTTGGAGGGGGATTCCTCTTTGGGCCTGTAAGTTCCTTTCCAGCTTTTGAGATTCTGGGATGCTTGGAGCTATGGGGGCTGATGGGATCTTCAGGAGGTTTCCAGAGCCCGACCAATCCCTCCCTGGTCTTGGCAGGATTTCTTTTTCTATAAAGCCAGTAACTTTGAGAGTATGTATGGCGTGCACATTGAAATGGATGGCTATGAAAAGCTTTATAAATTGAATGCTCAGAATCACCTGCCTGAATACATCTACCTGGACAAGGGGGCCACCTACAGCTTCTCCATTTACCTTGTCTCTCCGAAAATTTCCTGTAAAAGCGAATGGGCCAATGGGGACCCCAAGGGCTAGTGGAATGGAATTGGGTTGGGGGGAAGATGGTGGGTAGCCTGGCAGGTGGCTGGGAGGAGGGTCTCTGAGCGGCTGGCCCATCCTTGTCTCCTTCCTCCCCTCTTGCAGACACTTTCATGGGCTACAAGAGGCATTTGCGTCTGGCTGTGATAATGGCTGATCCCATGTGTGTGTCAGCAACAGTGAAGGAGCAGGCTTTAGGGAACCAAAACGCCATGCTCTTCCAGGTGAGACGGGCAGGCCATGTGCACTTGCATGTGTATGTTGCTGTGTTTATGTGTGTGTCTTCTAGCTACAGTCCAATCCACCTGTATTCTTGGCCAAGGAGGAATTAGCATCCTTGGCACCAGATGAGGAAACTGGGATTGAGAAAGACCAAAGAAATGGTCTAGGTTCCAGACCAGGGAAGGTCTCAGTTCCAGGCCCCAAGGATCTTTAGCCAGAGTGCTTCAACTCACCATTCAACACCAAAAGCACTGATTAGGTGCCTTTATATACCAGACGCTGTACTAGACCTAGTATACAAAGTCAAACAAGAAAACATTGTTTTTGTTCTCTCAAGGAGTTTACAATCTATAAGGGGATATGTGCACAAGACACATATACAGGCACGCAATCACACTCAGAGAAAGGTAGTGATTGAGTTATCTGGGCAAGATGGGTCTTGGGACCCCTGGAGAGAGTTAGATCTCTCCTCCCTTCCCCTCTTCCAGGAGAGGACTGAGGGGGTGATATGGAGGAGCTCTCCAGAATTCCAGGCCCTTAGCACCTTTCCCTCAAACTGACCAGGTGTCTGTCAAGGACAAACTCAGATGTTCTGATCAAAGCATCAGTGGATATAACCTCATGAAAACAGCCTTACTCATCAAGGTGGGAGACAGGGAGGAACAGAGGAAAGGGATCACCCCTCTGTCTTCTGGGTGGGAAGGTGGCTCACAAATGACCGAGTTAACAGAGGGAAGTCTCTAGTTGACAACAAGGAGCAAAAGACCCCTTGGGTCTGGGATGGCAGTAAAAGAAATGGGGTGGGGGTAGGCGGCTGCCCAGCACTGAGCAGTCCTCTCTACAGGTGGTTGGCTCAGTTGGGAAGTGCTTTGTTAGAACCCGGTATGGACATCTGATGCAGGTAACCAAGGAGAGACCACACAGACTCTTAAGGGAGGGGGACACTCTCCAGGCTGGGCTCTGGTCTTCCCAAGATGAGGGAAGGTGGAGAGTTCATTCTCCTGCTCACTGAAAACTGACCCACTCCCACCACTTCCAAGCTCCACCTCTCATGTGGGAATGGCAAAAAGGATGCAGTGGTCCTCCTCCTTGGGTGGTTTCAAGTTCTTTTTTTATCCCTCAGACAAAACATTCTCTCGACTTCAGATCCTAGAGAATGAGGAGGAAGGGATCTTAGAGGTCCTGGCACATATCCATTTCCCTCTTTCTCCTTCAGCTCTGCATATTAGTAGGCAGAGCCTAGCTAGATTCTGCTCAAGCCAGGAGGGTTTGCTCCCAGCCAAGAGGGTACTCTGTGGGTTCCCTGGGAGAAAGAGCAGGGGTCGCCATCCGCAGTGATCTTTGAACCCAAGAATATAAAATCTGTCACTGTTTCCATTTCTTGCCCTTCTATTTGCCAGGAAGTGATGGAACCAGTTGCCAAGATTGTAGTTTTTTTGATGTTAAGCTTCAGGCCAGCTTTTACACTCTTTCACCCACATCAAGAGGCTTCTTAATTCTTCGCTTACTCCCATCAAAGTGGTATCTTCTGCATATCTTATATGGTTGAGATTTTTTCTGGCAACTTGATTCCAGCTTTTGATTCATCCAGCCAGGTATTTCCCATGATGTACTCTGTATATAAGTTAAATAAGGTAACAATACGTAGCCTTGTTATGCTCCTTTTCCAGTCTTAAAGCAATTTAGTTGTTCTGTATTTGATTATAATTGTTGCTTTTTGTCCTGAATATAGGTTCCTCAGGAGACAAGTAAGATGATCTGGTACTCATCTCTTTGAGGACTTGTCGCATTTTGTTCTGATCCACACAAAATGGCTTTAGTGTAGTCAGTGAAGCAGAAGTAGATGTTTTTCTGGAACTCCCCTGCATTCTCTGTAATCCAGTAAATGTTGGCAATTTGGTCTCTAGTTCCTCTGCCTCTTTGAAAACCAGCCTGCTCTTCTGGTAATTCTCAGTTCACGTATTGCTGAAGCCTAGTTTGCAGAATCTTAAGCATAATTTTACTGGTGTTCGAAATGAGCACAATCGTTTGGTAATTTGAACATTCCCTGGCATTGCCTTTCTTTAGGATTGGGATGTAAACTGGTCTTTTACAAACTGGTCGTGTTTTCCAAATTTGCTGGCATATTGAATGCAGCACTCTAACAGCATCATCTTTTAGGATTTTGAATAGCTCAGGTGGAATTCTATCCACTACCTTTATTGTTAGCAGTGGTTCAGAAGGCTCACTTGACTTCACTCTCCAGAATGTCTGACTATAGATCAGTAGCCACACCATCATGGTTTTTGGTGATGTAAAGATTTTTCTTGCATAGTTCTTTCATATATTCTTGCAACCTCTTCTTAATCTCTTCTGCTTCTATTAAATCCCTACCATTTTTGTCTTCTATCCTGCCCATTTTTGCATGTTCTGGGCATTTTTAAGTCCCAAATAAAATCCTACCTTCTACAGGATACCTTCTGTCTGTTAATTTCCTATTTATCCTATATAGAGGTAGTTTATACATATTTGTTTCCCTCTTGTCTCCCTCACTGGACTGTGAATTTCCTAAGGGCATGGACTGGTTTTTTTTTTCCTCTTTTTGTATTCCAGCACTTAGCAGTGCCTGGCAGATGGTAGCTGCTGGATAAATGTTTATTATTTGAATGATAGATTGAAGAAAGGTGGAAAATACATTTTGGGTCTGTGGATGAGGAACAATTAATGACCAAATCAGGAATAGAGAAAATGACAGGAAATAACATGGACAACTTTGATTACCTAAATTTTTAAGTTTTGGCACAAAAGCAATGTGGCTAAAATGAGCAGATAAATAGTTAATTGCAGAAGGAGGTAGAAGGGTTAAATCTTTCCAGGAAGTTTCTCTGATAAAGGTCTCATTCCCAATATATGTAAGGAACTAATTCAAATTTATAAGAATAAAAGCCATTCCCCAATTAATAAGTGGGCAAAGGCTGTAGACAGTTTTCAAACCCATCAGATTAACAAGGAAAATGGCAAAAGCTGGAGGGGCTGTATGAAAACAAGCATATTGATGCTCTTTTGGTGGAACTGTCTTAATTGGTCCAGTCATTCTGGAAAACAATTTAGAATGATGTCCCAAAAGTTACTAAATTGTGCATACCCCTTGATCTAGCTATACCACCAGAAGACCTATACCCTGAAGAATGGGAAAAAATAATCCATAATTATAAAAATGTTAATAGAAACTTTTTTGAAGTATCGAAGAACTGGATACTAAGGATTCATCAACTGGTGAATGACTACATTATGTCGCAAGAAATGATGAAAGAGTTTCAGAGAAACCTAGGTAGAGTTATGAACTGATGCAGGATGAAGTGAGAAGAACCAGGAGAACAATTTATATAGTAATAACAAAATTGTAAAGACAACTTTGAGAGGCTTAAGAACTATGATCACTGACCAACCAGGATTCCACATGATCCATAAGCTACTCATGCTACCTACCTCCTTGTGGGGGGAGAGGGGTAGACTCATGGTTCAGAATGAAACATATATTTTTGGTTGTGTCCAATGTGGGAACTTGTTTTCTTTGGCTATATACACACACATGCACAGAGACATTTGTGTGTCTATGTGCATGTGTGTGTAGACAGAGTTTTCATTGCATAAAGAGGGAAAACAAATTTTTATTTAAAAATAGAATTTTTAAAAAAGCATCAAAAGTTCTAAAGTTCAGAATAAGCTGAAGCTGGCAAGGGAAACTAAGTACAGCTAAAGAAGAGTGTTTTTTTAAACTATATTAGAAATAAAAGAATCAAAGAAAATATATCCTATTGCCTGTTCTCTGCATTCCCAAACTAGGATTGAGATCCCTAAGGGGTATCTTTGACTACTCTCCCTCAGGGTTCTAGGGATAACCCTGAAGGCTTATGATTTCTTAAAATGTTGTACCTGAATCCCACCAGCATGCTATCCATGATCAATAAACTAGTTGAAGTCCATTAGATTTTAGAAAAAGGGGTTTTTTTTTGTTTTTTTTTGGCAAGGCAATTGGGGTTAAGCAACTTGCCCAGGGTCACACAGCTAGTAAGTGTCAAGTCTCTGGTCTGAGACCAGCTTTGAACTCAGGTCCTCCTGACTGCAGGGCCAGTGTTCTATCCACTGTACCACCTAGCTGCCTCAGAAAAAAAAGTTTTACTGAGAAGGCATGGTAAGAACAGTTGGAAGAAAACATTCCCCCACTCTGGCCTTACACACACAAGAGCCCTTTGGAGGAGAGAGCTCAAGCTAAAGTATGATGGTAGTCAAACACACATATAGAGGACACAGGTTACAAAGGGGTAGGTCATTCTCAGCACCTGACCCTGGGAATCCTTTTCTCCTTTTGTGGAGTCCTCATGCAATTCCCCTTAGGTGGTTCTCTCTGGGTAAGTTATCCCCTGCTGCTGAGTTGAGCTGATCCTCTGCTGGACCAGTGGCCAGCGGGACTTTCCAACAGGCCATTCCAGGTTACTGTTGTTTCTTTTTTGACAGGGTTACTAACTGGTAGATGAGGGGGATGCTGTGGATAGAGTTGACCTCGGTTAGGTTTTAACATGGCTTTTGACACAGTATCTCAGACTATTCTTGCAGAGAAGAAAGAAAGTTGTGGACTAAAGGAAAACAGGATTACATTGATTCAGAGCTGATTAGATGGCTGCACTCAAAGAGTTGTCACTAATGTGTCAAGGTCAACAACAATAACAACTAACATTTCTCTATTGCTTTAAGATTTGCAAAACACTTTATGTGTATTATTCTCCCAATGATCCTCTGAGGTAGGTACTATTATTATCTTTACTTTATAGATGAGGAAACTGAGACTTTGAGGGGCTAAGTGACTTGCTCACGGTCACACAGCTAGTAAGTGTATGGAAAAAGAGAGAAGGCTTCAAGCGTTTATTAATGTGTTAGGCATAAGCACTGAGGCAGAATTTGAACTCAGATCTCCTGACTCCAAGCCTAGGGCTCCATCTACTGAACTACATGGCAAGGTAGGAGGGTTTCGTGGAGTACCTTAGGGGTCTGTGCTTGGTTCTATGCTGTTTACTGTTATGATCTGTGACTTGGATGGTCACAGATGATGTGGCCAGCAAATGTGCTGATACCACAAAGCTAGGAGGGGTTGTTAATACACTGGAAGACAGTCAGGATGCAGCAAAGATCTTGACAGGCTACGAAATTCAACTTAACCTAATAAGATGAAATTCAGTAGGGATAAATGTCAAGTCTTAGATTTGGGTTCAAGAAATCAACTTCTAAAACACAAGATGGAAGAAGCAGGGATAGATATCAATTTATCTGAAAAAGATCTGAGGGTTTAAGTGGACAACAAGCTCCCTAGGAATCAATAGTGTAATGTGACAGTCAAAAAAGCTGATGGGATTTGGGGTTTTGGTCAGAGAAACATAGTTTCCATGATAAAGGCAGCAAGGATCTCTTGACTTTGCCCTCATCTGACTTTATCTGATGGGTTAGGGTTCTGGTGAGTACCTCTTTCCATAAGGAAATGTCCATTTCTCCAGATTTGTTGTCCCTCTTTGTGTTTTGGACTCCTCTCAGAAGGAAAATAAACTTAAGACTTCTAGATAGTAAACACTCTATCAGTCCAGGGACCTATTTTCAGATGCTTAACCTTTTGGTACCACTCTGAAAGTTTGTAACCAACCAGTCCATCAATAAACATGTATTAAGCACACACTGAGCTAAGTGCTGGACATGCAAAGATAAAAATCAAACAATTCCTGCCCTCAAGGAACTTCCATTCTAAGGAATTTGGAGGTTGGGGAGACAACATGTAGATACAAGATACAAGATAAGGGACAGCTAGGTGGCACAGTGGATACGGCACCAGCCCTGAAGTCAGGAGGACCTGAGTTCAAATCTGGCCTCAGACCAAACACTTGACACTTACTAGCTGTGTGACCCTAGGCAAGTCACTTAACCCCAATTGCCTAGTCAAAAAAAAGACAAGAAAGAAAGAGGGTGATATTTAGGGGCAGCTAGGTAACACAGTGGATAGAGCACCGGCTCTGGATTCAGGAGGACCTGAGTTCAAATTTGACCTCAGACACATAACACTTACTAGCTGTGTGACCGTGGGCAAGTCACTTAACCCCATTGCCTAGCCAAAAAAAAAAAAGATACAAGACAAATATGAAGTAAATAGAAGAGAACTATAGACAGCAAGAGGTTAGTCATTGAGGGAGTTGTGAAGGGCCTCCTGCAGAAGGTAACACTGAGCCGATTCTTCTTATTTAGTATTTTATTTTTCCCCAGTTACATGTAAAAATAATTTTTAACATTTGTTTTTACAACTTTGAGTTCTAAATTCTCTCCTCTCCTCCCTCCTCACCCCTCCTCATTGAGAAGGCAAGTAATTTGATGTAGGTTATACATATGTAGTTATGCAAAACATTTCCATAGTAGTCATGTTGTGAAAGAAAACATAGACAAAAAAAAACCATCAAGAAAAATAAAGTTAGAAAAAAATATGCTTCAATCTGTATTCAGACACCATGAGTTCTTTCTCTAGGGATGGATAGTATTTTTTCATCATAAGTCCTTCAGAGTTGTCTTGGATCATTACACTGCTGAAAATAGCTAAGTCGCTTACAGCTGATCATCTTACAATATTGCTGTTACTCTGTACACAGTATATTTTGCTTTGTATTATTCCATGCAAGTCTTTCCAGGTTTTTCTGAGAGCGTACCGCTCATCATTTCTTATAGTACCATAGCATTCCATCATAATCACACACTACAACTTGTTCAGCCATTCCTCAACTGATGGGCATCCCCTCAGTTTCTAATTCTTTGTCCCCAGAAAAGAGCTACTATAAATATTTTTGTACATATAGGTCCCTTTCTTTTTTGTTTTATGTCTCTTTTGGGATGCAGACCTAGTAGTGGTATTGCTAGGTCAAAGGGTACACATGGTTTTATAGCCCTTTGAGCATAGTTCCAAATTTCTCTACAGAATGGTTGAATCCCTTCACAACTCCACCAACAATGCATTAATGTCTCATTTTTCCCACATCCTCTCCAATATTTGTCATTTACTTTTTCTGTCTTATTAGCCAATCTAATAGGTATGACATAGTACCTTGGAATTGTTTTAATTTGCATTTTTCCTATCAAAAGTGAATTAGAGTATTTTTTCATATGGCTATAGGTATCTTTGCTTACTTCATCTGAAAACTGATCATATCTTTTGATCATTTATCAATTGGGGAATGACTCTCAATTTTATAAATTTAAATCAGTTCTCTACAAGTTTGAGAAATGAGGCCTTTACCAGAGAAACTTGATTCAAAATATTTTTTTCACAGTTACTATTACTAATTGTATTTCCCTCCATCCTATATCCTCCCCCTGCCCCCATCTCTTTATTCTATTCTCTCTCTTATCTCACCCTAGCCCTCCTCAAAAGTGTTTTGTTTCTGACTACCCATTCCATCAATCTGCTCTCCCTTCTGTCACTCCCCCTTTTCTCTTATCCCCTTCCCCTCCTACTTTCCTATATGGTAAGATAGATCCCTATACCCAACTGAGTATGTATGTTATTTCCTCTATGAGCCAATTCTAATGAGGCAAGTCCTGTGCTCCCTCTCACCTCCCCCTTCTTTCCCTCTACTGTAAAAGCTTCTTCTTATCTCTTTTATGTGAGACAATTTATCCCATTCTGCCTTTCCCTTTCTCTTTTTCCAAATACATTCCTCTCTCTCACCCCTTAATTTTATTTTTTTAAATATCACCCCTTCATATTGAACTCACATCTGTGCCCTCTGTCTATATATACTTCTTCTAACTACTCTAATAATGAGAAATGTCTTTTGAGTTGCAAATATCATCTTCCCAGTTTAACCTTATTAGGCAGTTTAACCTTATCAAGTCCCTTACGATTTCTCTTCCCTGTTTACCTTTTTATGCTTCTCTTGAGTCTTGTACCTGAAAGTCAAATTTTCCAACCAGCTCTGGTCTTTTCATCAAGAATGCTTGAAAGTCCTCTATTTCATTGAATGCCCATGTTTTCCCCTAAAGAATTATACCCAATTTTTCTGGATAGGTGATTCTTGGTTGTAATCCTAGCTCTTTTGCCCTTGGGAGTATCATATTACAAGCCCTCTGATTCTGTAAGGTTGAAGCTGCTAAATCCTGAGTTATCCTGACTGTGGC